ATATAACTGATTTCAAGTTCTTTGACTACATTTATTCAGAAACTATAATATGTCAAATATTTAATTACAATCCAAATTCAGACCTGTATCAAGCTTGAATATTGTGTCCATTTTTGCCCCAACTGTTCAGGGTTGGACCTGTGTGGGTGTATCCAGCTGCGCTCAGCGAATCAGTTTATTACTTAATTAAGAACTCCTTTTTGTCGAGCCTGCGACTTTTGTCGCAGAAAGCTCGACATAAGGGATAGTGATCCGGCTGCGGCGTTAGCTAACTTCTTAAAAGCTTTATATTTTAGAAGGTGGAAGGTCTGGATGCTTCTTACTTTGTATATGGATGCCTCATGTTACTTAGTTTCCGTCAGTCACATGTCCAATGTCCTTGACCTCATTTTCATGGTTCAGTGACTACTTGAAAAAAAGTTAAGATTTTTTGTAATGTTGAATTCTCTCTTATTATAAGTAATAGGATAACTATATTTGGTATGTGCATACCTTGCAAGGTCCTCATGCCCGTCAGACAGTTTTCACTTGACCTCGACCTCATTTCATGGATCAGTGAACAAGGTTAAGTTTTGGTGGTCAAGTCCATATCTCAGATACTATAAGCAATAGGTCTAGTATATTCAGTGTATGGAAAGACTGTAAGGTGTACATGTCCATCTGGCAGGTGTCATCTGATCTTGACCTCATTTTCATGGTTCAGTGGTTATAGTTAAGTTTTTGTGTTTTGGTCTCTTTTTCTTATACTGTATGCAATAGGTCTACTATATTTGGTGTATGGAATGATTGTAAGGTGTACATGTCTAGCTGGCAGGTGTCATCTGACCTTGACCTCATTTTCATGGTTCAGTGGTCAAAGTTAAGTTTTTGAGTTTTGTCTTTTTTTCTAATACTATATGCAATAGTTCAACTTTGGTGTATGGAAATATTTTATGATCTATATGTCAGTCACGCAGGTTTTTTTTTACCTTGACCTCATTTTTTCAAGGTTCATTGCTCAGTTTTAAGTTTTTGTGTTTTGGTCTGTTTTTCTTAAACTATAAGCAATAGGTCAACTATATTTGTTGTATGGAAGAATTGTTAGCTGTACATGCCTGTCTAGCATGGTTCATCTGACCTTGACCTTGACCTCATTTTCTTGGTTCATTGGTCAATGTTTAGTTTACTTGGTTAATGTTAAGTTTATGTGACAGTTGTAATAAAGCTTTATATTTAGGACTATCAACATAATATCAATGATTAGTAAAGAAGGCGAGACATTTCAGCGTGTGCACTCTTGTTTCATTCATAAATTACTTTATACTTGGAAATATAATTTTGCTTGGAGTTATAGTTTCTAAAAAAAGTATTGTCATTGAAAGAGTTGACATGTTGCAATGTACATTTATTCTACATAGTTCTATGGTACCAAATCAAAAGTTTATATTAAAGAAAGAAGTCAAAGGTTTCCCATCATAGTTTAGTTACATACATTTTTTTTGTACCTGAGGTCGTTGAATATAGATCATTATATAAATAAGGAGATGTGTTATGATTGCCAATGAAACAACTATCATCCATACATTGTACTTACCAGTAACAAACCACATTTGCAAAGTTGAATAAAATACAGTTGATAACATTTACTTATTACTTAAAAGAAAATGCCAAACTATTTTAAACAGTATTTGACTATAAACATAGATAAAAAAGGTACAAACTGGACATAATGCATTAGTTCATAAACAAGTGAGAACAATCGCCTTCATATAGTGCTCAGAATATGACATTCATAAAACTTGTTCAATATCATTAGAGAACTCTAAATCTTAAATACTGAAAGCCACCTCTGATAAGTACAATGTACTATACAAGATAATGATATAACTGGACTAAAAATACACACAACCTGTAATTAACTGCCTTTACAGCGCTTTCGCGCTTTGATTTCAACCATATTATCCTAAATACATTCATATATCGTTATACTACTAACGACTGTTGTGTTATTTGTCGTCAGGGTGAAATTTTGTAAGTTCAATAAAAAAAAAAACGACCATTCATCTTTCCTTGGTGCTGGAAAGAATGTTTTTTTTTAATATAAACAGTGGAGATGTGGTATGATTGCAAATAAGATAACTATTCACCATGGTCAAATAAAGTGTATGTAAGCAATTATATGCTATCATACGACCTTCAACAACGAAAACTCGTACCTTATAGTCGGCTATAAAAAGCTCCGACATGAAAAATGTGGAAGGATTCAACAAGAAAACTAACGGCCTATAACTCATAACCAAACAATGTACGAAAAACAACAAATACGATAGAGATGAACCAAAGACAACCACATAACTACAGTCTCGTGACTTCGGACAGACACTTTAAGAATGTGCTGGGTTAAATACATTGTTTATTTTTATAATTTTTGAAACTAATAACTTGTTAAAAGAAAAGTGAAGAAAATACCTTTTTTTCATTGAAAATTAGGAGAAATAAATCATGAATTGTGTTTCGAATTATTTTTTCTTGTTTCTTATCGAAAATAAGATTGTATTTTTTTTAGTTTAAGTAAATTCAATCAATCTTTTTATTTTAAAGGAAAAAAGGGGTATATTCGTCCGAATTCTCATTGTAGTACATTTTCATGTTTACTATGTATAATATTTCTCAGTAAATTTTAATGTGATATTGTGCCAATTAAAGTTATATAATTAATACAAGTAAGACTTGCATTTGCTTTAAATGATATACATGTAGCAGCACATGATTATTTGTTTTCAAACACACCTTCTCTGTTTTGAAACTTATACATGTATGGATCTCAGCCTATCTGTTTGGTTGAATATAAATGTGAAGTCATAGTGTTTCAAATTCAACAGTTAGCCTTATTTGTGTGTGTGTGTAAATAATCTCATCTTTAGATAGATGCTAAAATTAAAATCATTTTTCTTAATAAGAAGAAAAAAGTGCAACTAAAGCACGCCTGAATGTAAAAAGGTGTACTCAACTTATTATTTCACGATAAGAATTTACCGATTTCGGTATTTTAACAAAACTGTTTACGAGGGCAAATAAATAAAAGAACGCTATCAAATCAACATTTAAGTTTTCGTGGATTTTTCCAAAATAATTTATGAGTATGCATCATCAGGAATTAAAAAAATATTTTAACCTAACCTTATTAGATGTTATTTGATTATATTTCTTTAACTTACAAGTCAAAGATGCTAGCTTTTGTGTATTGTATTAATAAGTATATAGCATTAAAATGACAACCAAAAAAAAACTTCATACAAGGTCATCTTTATTCTCAAGTAGAAAGTTTATACAAATAGTATATGCCGTAGCCACAGCAAGATTTGTATCCCTTGTATCGGTTTCTTCTTTCATTCTTTCCAAAAATGATTAATATAAGGTAAATATTTTTAAAAACAAACAGTGTTAGCTACCGAACTTGTTCATTTCTAGAAAATTAATGTTCTTTATTCTAATCATGAACAAATGTCAGACAGCAACCTACGACAGCCGCTATATTACATGTTCCTGGCCAGTGACAGACACATATAACGTCAGGGGCATAAAACAGGTCAATGAAACAGTGACATGCTTTTCCGAAAGTTGAAACATTTGCCAGCTTTTGTATATGCCGTATTCATATAGTATACATCGGGTATGTAAAAGATGTAATAGGACTGTGTTCAAGTCTTATATTGTGTATACATCTTAAATGCTGTCAAGCGAATTGTATTTTTATCAAATGCATAATTAGATATTTGAACTTAATACTTTATTTTTCTTTAAAAAGACGGCAAATGAATATTTTAAAAACAGCAAGTTGCCATACAGTTGAAAACAAGTTGCCATACAGTAAATTTGTCAACACGAGCAAGTTGCCGTACCCTAGACTTTATCTTTTATGGTCTATATTCTTTCAAAAACATCTTTTTGACAACAAATTTCAGTAAATATGATGCCACACTATAATAATCTAAAAGTACATGTATGTCTGGAAAAATAATAAAAAAAAGTTGAATATCTTGCCAAAAGGGCGACAAAGACGATCGACCTCGAAATTTTCGGGTACTAAGTTGCAAGTTTTGGAGTATAACACAAAATCTTGTCTTAATTTTGTACTTATCGGCCTAATAATTTAAAGAATTATATATCAGAAAATCATTTCTTAAGCGGTACCCTCGTGAAATCAGTAGAAATGCTTTAAATTGAATGAATTCTTACCTTGTTTACTTTTTTTTCTATTTCTCTCCGCTTCGTTAGTACCCAATTTCCGGTGGCGATGATACACAGTGTTCCTATTATGGAATTGATTTAGGAATTGTTTCCCATTTTCCAAACTTGAGACCTAAGTCATTTTGGAGCAACATTTACAAAAGACCTTATAACTAAATGTAGTGTTATATCAACTCCTCTAATTGTCAACCCAGATCCTTGAAACTTCACAGAATGATTACATATGCACCTGCTATTAAGAATTGTTGGTAGATTTTCTCCTCATAGTACACTTGGGAATTATATATTTTTTATAGCAAAATTTTCAGAAGTGTTTAACCCAGATCTTCAAATATGGAACTTCACCTTTTCATAGTTGTTGTTCACCATACATTATTCAGTGGTGGATCCAGAAATTTTCAGAAGGGGGCCCACTGACTGCCATAAGAGGGGGCCGCTTAGTCATGCTTCAGTGATTCACTAAATAATCAACCAAATTATTTCTACAAAAGGGGGGCCTGAGCACCCTGGCCCCACCCCCACCCTAAATCCACCTCTGTTATGGACTTGTTTTTTGCTATTTTTTATGATTTTCTCAAATTTTTATACTTCCATATACATGCCATGCATGTACATGTTTTAAAATGTTCAGTATAGACCTTTTCTCATAGTTTAAGAAACTGTCTATTGAACCTGGCCAATAGCGATTTGAATCTTTGATTCATTTTTTGTACATGTATATAGTTTATTATTAAATATCCATGACTTTTTCAAAAAAATTTTTTTGAAAGGATCTAAATGTGGTACCAGTCCAGCAATGAAGTTCAGCAACTTTGGACAATTTTTTGGTAAAATGGTGCAATTGATCGTATAAACCATCAACCATGACAAACATGGAACAGTATCAGCAGCTCCCTCAAGTTTCTATGACAACAGATTCACAAGTACAACAACCAGTTGTGATGCAAGGAATGCCTCTACAATTACTTCAAGGTCAAATGTCACTGCAGCAAGGTCAAATGTCATTACAGCAAAATCAAATTCCCTTGCAACAAGGCAATATACCATTCCAACAAGGTCAGATTCCCATCCAGCAAGGTCAGATTCCCATCCAGCAAGGTCAAATACCAATCCAGCAAGGTCAGATCCCATTACAACAAGGTCAATTTCAAATACAGCAAGGACAGTTTCCAATTCAACAAGGACAACTTCAAGTTCAGGGACAGCTACAGCAAGGACAACCTCAGGTAGATATTACATGCTATTTATCACCATATATGAGGGTCTGGTTGGGGGAGGGGAGGGTCTTTCATCATGTTCATTTCTATATTCTTTTTATTTTTTTAGTTTACTTTCTCTATTCTTTATATTTGTTGCCAATTAATCTCTTTTCTTTATATTTTACCCCATTATTTCCTATTCATTATTTTTACGGTCTGTGCGTCCCTTTGTCCGTCTGTCCCACTTCAGGTTAAAGTTTTTCAGGTTAAAGTTTTTGGTCAAGGTTGTTTTTGATGAAGTTGAAGTCCAAGCAACTTGAAACTTAGTACACATGTTCCCTATGATATGATCTTTCTAATTTTAATGCCAAATTAAAGATTTGACCCCAATTTCACGGTCCACTGAACATAGAAAATGATAGTGCAAGTGGGGTATCCGTGTACTATGGACACATTCTTGTTTTGGTATATTTTCTAAATTCTTTATTTTTTTCTGTTCATTTTTCCATAGTACAGTGGTCCATTCTTCTCTATTCTGTTAACCCCATCCAGACCCTCATATACATGTAAACATGTAATCAAGATACAATAAAATTGAGAATGGAAATGGGGAATGTGTCAAAGAGACAACAACCCGACCATAGAGCAGACAACAGCCAAAGGCCACCAACACTATTTACAATTAATACAAAAATACCATTGAAAGTTAATTACCTGATGATCAATACAGTGTATCACCATAGAGACCTGGATAGAGGAACATTATTTTCTGTATTCTTTTATTTTTTGATCATTTTTCTTTATTCTTTTAATATATTTGTTGCAATTTTTCTCTATTCTTTATATTTTAACACCCCATTCCTCTTCCTTATTTTTTTGGCCTATTTTTCTGTAGTGTTAATCTATTATTCTCTAAACCTCATCAAGACCCTCATGTCAGATTGCTCATGGCTGAAAATATAGGGTATACGATTGTATGCAAATTATTTTACATGCAGTGTACATGTACATGATGTACAGGAGTAGATTGTACAGACTTTACCAGTGCTTAACATAAAACTGTTCATAGAATGTGTTGGGATAGGCATGACAATTCAGGATTGACATGGAGACAGGAAACAGACCTATATAATATTTTGCTTAATTAGATTTTAATGTTCATAATGATGTCAATATATTTTAAAATTTAAGATTGAACAAATTTGTATTAATTTGTAATTAACAGATTTTTAACGAGAAATCCTGCTCCATAGAAAGTCTATCATTGTCTGTAGAACATTAACTGATGTTTCACGAGACATCCTGCTCCATAGAAAGTCTATCATTGTCTGTAGAACATTAACTGATGTTTCATGAGACATCCTGCTCCATAGAAAGTCTATCACTGTCTGTAGAACATTAACAGATGTTTCACGAGACATCCTGCTCCATAGAAAGTCTATCATTGCCATGTAGTCTATCACTGTCTGTAGAACATTAACCGATGTTTCACGAGACATCCTGCTCCATAGAAAGTCTATCATTGTCAGTAGAACATTAACAGATGTTTCACGAGACATCCTGCTCCATAGAAAGTCTATCATTGTCAGTAGAACATTAACTGATGTTTCACGAGACATCCTGCTCTATAGAAAGTCTATCACTGTCTGTAGAACATTAACAGATGTTTCACGAGACATCCTGCTCCATAGAACTATATCATTGTCTGTAGAACATTAACAGATGTTTCACGAGACATCCTGCTCTATAGAAAGTCTATCACTGTCTGTAGAACATTAACTGACAATAGAAGCAGGTACAAAATGTACTTCTTGGTTGGTTTCGCCACCCTTTTAATTTTTATGCCCCCGCCGTAGCGGAGGGGGCATTAAGTTTTACCCTTGTCCGTCTGTACGTACGCACGTACGTACGTACGTCCGTCCGTACGTCCCGAAATTGGTTTCCGTTCTCTTACTTGAGTTTGCCTACACCAAATGTTATGAAACTTATACACAATGCTTATTACCACAAAACACAGATCAAGTTTGAATTTTGGTGGCGTCACTTTAACCGATCTAGAGTTATGCCCCTTTATAAAAGGAAATATTACAAAATTTTTAGTTTCCGTTCTCTAACTTAAGTTTGCCTCAACCAAATGTTATGAAACTTATACACAATGCTTATTACCACAAAGCACAGATCAAGTTTGAATTTTGGTGGTGTCACTTTAACCAATCTAGAGTTATGCCCCTATTTTCTTCTAAATATCAAGTTTATATAATATATTTTTAAAATTGGAGTTATCTTCCTTTGACCATGATTATAGTTGAATCAACTACAATCAATGCTTTATACAATGCAATGTTTAATTTTGACTTCCACTGATAAAACACAGATCAAGTTGAATTTGGGTAGTGTCACTTTAACCATTATTGAGTTATGCCCCTTTATAAATAGAAAGATTGCAAAATTTTTTAGTTTCCATTCTGTAACTGAAGTTTTCCCCAGCCAAACATTATGAAACCTATACACAATATTCATTACCACAAAACTCAGTAAGGATCAAGTACAATTTTTTTGTTTCAGTTCTCTAACTTGAGTTTGCCTCAACCAAATGTTATGAAACTTATACACAATGCTTATTACTACATAATACAGATTAAGTACGAAATTAGGTGGCAACACTTTTACCATTCTAGAGTTATGTCCCTTTATAAACATAAAAATTGCTGAATTTTTTAGTTTGTCTCAACCAAATGTTGTAAAACTTATACACAACCGTTCTAGAGTTATGCGTGTTTACAAATAGAAAAATTGCTGAATTTTTAGTTTCTGTTCTCTTCTTAAGTTAGCCTCAACCAAATGTTATGAGACTTACACACAATGCTTATTACCACAAAACTCAGATCAAGTTCAAATTTGGGTAGCGTCACTTTTACCGTTCTTCAGTTATGTCCCTTTATAACTATATGATATGCAAGCGGGGGCATCATCTGTGTCCACATGTGGACACTATCCACATTTATTTTTTATTCAGTCAGTTGCTGTTCTTTTTTTTGAATTGATGTTTCATTATTTTTTGTGGCTTATTTTTTGTGGATTACATATACATGTACAATGTTGGTAATGCTGAACATTAAGTGTTTAAGTGTTTAAAAAAACAAGTTTATCATAGCTTTTGTGTATAGTGGCAAAAATTGGAATAACAAAAATACCAAACTCCCAAGGAAAATTCAAAACAAAAAGTTCTTTATCAAATGGCAAAATCAAAAGCTCAGACTTAACACATCAATATGATCAAACGAATGGAAAACAACTGTCATATTTCTGAGTTACAGGCATTTCCTTATGTAGAAAATGGTGGAATAAACCTGGTTTTATAGCTAGCTAAACCTCTCACTTGTATGACAGTCGCATAGAATTCCATTATATTGACAACAATGTGTGACCAAAACAAACATCTACGTAATAGGTTAAAATGTCCAAAATCAGGGTGCAGCAGCTGTCAACATGGTGTTATGATTTTAATCACTATAAAAACAAATAACTATTTTAACACAGAAATACAAAATGATGTTTGCCTCGTGTGTAGTCTACAATACAGCCAGTCCTCCAACAATATAGATTTATTTATTTGCGTAGCTAGGTTTATGTCAAAACGCCCAGGCATACACATGAATTTTGGGAAAACATTTTAATCTAAATAAATTAAAAGAACTTGTTAAAAGCACATTAGCCGTAACTTGTAATTCTTTCTTCAAGGACATGTATGAACATATGTAACATAAAATATTGTCCGTCGGACAAAGTTTCATTTAGATATTGTCCACAGACATTATTTCATAATGAAATATTACTGTCCAGACATTATTTCATTATGAAATAGTGTCCTTGTCTTTGAAATTTTTTCACCTCCTTCTGGACAATATTTTACTGTAAAATTCTGTCCATGACAATATTTCACTGTGAAATACATGTACTGTCGATGAAAATATTTCTTAATCAAATTATTACAAAATTAAAAACAGTACACAAGCATGAAGCATAATATAGTTTGTAATTAACAGATGTTTGCCTCATGACTGTAATCTACAATACAGCCAGCCCTTCAGCAATGAATATTGATACATTTGTTACTTGTATTTGGTGTGTCTAATTAGATTTTGCATCTTGTAATTCTGTGTCTTATGCCACTTGTATAGTTTGTAATTAACAGATGTTTGCCTCATGACTGTAATCTACAATACAGCCAGCCCTTCAACAATGAATATTGACACATTTGTTACTTGTATTTGGTGTGTCAAATTAACTTTTGCATCTTGTAATTCTGTGTCTTTAATATGCCTCTTGTTTTACTTGATATTTGATTTTAATGATATTTCCATATTTATTCAGGTTATACAGTTGGGACAAAATGGCTTTATCCAAGGTCAACAATTCTTTCAGATGTTACCTAATGGTCAGCTGATCCAAGGTCAACCAATTCAGCTTCAAGGTCAACCTACGCAAATGCCTCAACAGGTAATTATGAAATATAGTAAACTACACAAGTCATTCCCTCTGTCGCCTTCTCAGATTTGCAAATTTTGTAAAAATGTTAAATACAAAAGTTTAATTCTTCTTTTTTTTTAGGAGTTAGTTTAATTCCTATTTTGAAGGGACAAAAATTCCACAAATTAAAAATATGTACTTGTATTCATGTAATTAAAGATTATCGATGGTACATTTATTTCAAACAATATGGTCTTGATGGTGTTTCTCAGCTACAATCTCATAGAAGGGAGACAAATTGGAGATGAGATGCAGCCTAGAAAAATCCTTGAGTTTGAAAAAAACATTGATATTCTGTTTATCACTGTTTTCCTAGGCAAAGTCATGACCAGTCAAGAGTTGTCTGTCCCTTGTAGGCAGGTGGAAATAACAAAATGCATGTGACCTCTTAAAATCAATATGCAGCAAAGATCTACACTTTTGAATTTAGGTTATTAGTAAATAGATTGGGGTCCTACATTAAAAAGTCTTTAGAACTTAGGACAGAGAACTCTGGACTATTTACTGTAATTAAATGATTGTGTATATATATGTGAATTTTAGTTATATTGTATACTTATTATGTATTTGTCACAAAGACTGAGCAACACGAACCCCACCAAAAACTGGGGGTGATCTCAGGTGCTCTGGAAGGGTAAGCAGGTCTGCTCCACATGTTGCACCAGTAAGTTTTTCAATTTTTAGATGTTTACAATCACAGGCTATGACAATAGTGGTTTCTAAATAACTTTTGAGTAGTATGTTTGGTGACATAATCAAACTTTTAATTTTGTTACCATTATCGGAAAAAGATTTTCTATTGTTCCCTCTTCACCAGGTAGATTTGAATCAATTTAGATATGAAATCAGTACTAAGAGGAATAACTCTATCTTATTAAATGTGAAATAATAACCCATACGTTCCCATGATTCCTTTATCATGATTATATATATTTGTACACAATTTAAGAAGAATTTACTCTTTTGTACATTAATAAATAAAGAGCTGCTGAACCAACGCCTCCTATGTTTTGTGCTGGTAGAGTTCCCTTAAGTGGAAACCAGATGGTATGCAGGGTTGTCAGATAAAAAAATCAAATACCGCTACATTGACAACATCACTTAAGAAAACTCCATCTTTTATTGTTGACATGTTTCGCCGATTAGATCTTTTGTACATTGTATTAAAGAAGCTGAAATGGAATTATGGTTTGATGTTCATTTATAATTTTGACTTTAAGTTAAAAAATAAATAAGCATTTATGATATAGAAATTGAAGCATTTAGATTTTCCAACAAGGTCAAAATCAGACATCTGGTCAGTATAACATGTTTTATTGATGTTTGTAGATTTTCCTACAAGGTCAAAATCAGACATCTGGTCAGTATGTCCCACTCTCCAACTTTAACCAAGGCCAGTTGTTGGGTCAGTTCCAAGGTCAAAGTCAAGTAGTACAGAACCAAGATGGACAACAAGCAGTGATATATCAGCAACCGGAATTACAAATAAAACAGGAGGACACGTCACAAGACGAACAAGGTTAGTATAAAGAAAGGGATTCAGCATCACTCTTGGTGTTAATATTTTACAGTGAATGTCAGTGATGTAGGTCATACCCTTTGAAACACACGTTCTCTAATTATACCCCACGCAACGAGTTGCGGAGGGTATAATGTTTTTGACCGGTCCGTCCGTCTGTCTGTCTGTCAGTCCGTCAGTCCTGTTTCTTGTCATCCCAACTCCTCTCAAACCGCACAACAGAATTTCATGAAACTATGTAGATAATAAGGACATACTATGTAGATGTGCATATCAACAGGAAATTATGATTCAATTTTTTTTTTCTAATACAATTTTTAGCTCACCTGACCTGAAAGGTCAAGTGAGCTTTTCTCATCACTTTGCGTCCGTCGTCCGTCGTCCTGCGTCCGTCGTCCGTCGTCCGTAAACTTTTACAAAAATCTTCTCCTCTGAAACTACTGGGCCAAATTTAACCAAACTTGGCCACAATCATCATTGGGGTATCTAGTTTTAAAAATGTGTGGCGTGACCCTGTCAACCAACCAAGATGGCCGCCACGGCTAAAAATAGAACATAGGGGTAAAATGCAGTTTTTAGCTTATAACTCAAAAACCAAAGCATTAAGAGCAAATCTGACATGGGGTAAAATTGTTCATCAGGTCAAGATCTATCTGCCCTGAAATTTTCAGATGAATCGGACAACCCGTTATTGGGTTGCTGCCCCTGAATTGGTAATTTTAAGGAAATTTTGCTGTTTTTGGTTATTATCTTGAATATTATTATAGATAGAGATAAACTGTAAACAGCAATAATGTTCAGCAAAGTAAGATCTACAAATAAGTCAACATAACCGAAATGGTCAGTTGACCCCTTTAAGAGAAATTGCCCTTTATAGTCAATTTTTAACCATTTTTCGTAAATCTTAGTAATCTTTTACAAAAATCTTCTCCTCTGAAACAACTGGGCCAAATTAAACCAAACTTGGCCACAATCATCATTGGGGTATCTAGTTTAAAAAATGTGTGGCGTGACCTGGCCAACCAACCAAGATGGCCGCCACAGCTAAAAATAAAACATAGCGGTAAAATGCAGTTTTTGGCTTATAACTCAAAAACCAAAGCATTTAGAGCAAATCTGACATGAAGTAAAATTGTTTATCAGGTCAAGATCTATCTGCCCTGAAATTTTCAGATGAATCAAACAACCTGTTGTTGGGTTGCTGCCCCTGAATTGGTAATTTTAAGGAAATTTTGCTGTTTTTGGTTATTATCTTGAATATTATTATAGATAGAGATAAACTGTAAACAGCAATAATGTTCAGCAAAGTAAGATTAACAAATAAGTCAACATGACTGAAATGGTCAGTTGACCCCTTTAGGAGTTATTGCCCTTTATAGTCAATTTTTAACAATTTTTCGTAAATCTTAGTAATCTTTTACAAAAATCTTCTCCTCTGAAACTACGTGGCCAAATTAAACCAAACTTGGCAACAATCATCATTTGGTTATCTAGTTTTAAAAATGTGTGGCGTGACCTGGTCAACCAACCAAGATGGCCGCCACGGCTAAAAATAGAACATAGGGGTAAAATTCAGTTTTTGGCTTTTAACTCAAAAACCAAAGCATTTAAAGCAAATCTGACATGGGTAAAATTGTTCATCAGGTCAAGATCTATCTGCCCTGAAATTTTCAGATGAATCGGACAACCCGTTATTGGGTTGCTGCCCCTGAATTGGTAATTTTAAGGAAATTTTGCTGTTTTTGGTTATTATCTTGAATATTATTATAGATAGAGATAAACTGTAAACAGCAATAATGTTCAGCAAAGTAAGATTTACAAATAAGTCAACATAACCGAAATGGTCAGTTGACCCCTTTAAGAGTAATTGCCCTTTATAGTCAATTTTTAACCATTTTTCGTAAATCTTAGTTATCTTTTACAAAAATCTTCTCCTCTGAAACAACTGGGCCAAATTAAACCAAACTTGGCCACAATCATCATTTGGTTATTTAGTTTTAAAAATGTGTGGCGTGACCTGGTCAACCAACCAAGATGGCCGCCACGGCTAAAAATAGAACATAGGGGTAAAATTCAGTTTTTGGCTTTTAACTCAAAAACCAAAGCATTTAAAGCAAATCTGACATGAAGTAAAATTGTTTATCAGGTCAAGATCTATCTGCCCTGAAATTTTCAGATGAATCGGACAACCCGTTGTTGGGTTGCTGCCCCTGAATTGGTAATTTTAAGGTAATTTTGCTGTTTTTGGTTATTATCTTGAATATTATTATAGATAGAGATAAACTGTAAAAAACGATAAATGTCGGCAAAGTAAGATCTACAAATAAGTCAACATGACCGAAATTGTCAGTTGACCCCTTTAGGAGTTATTGCCCTTTATAGTCAATTTTAACAATTTTTTCGTAAATCTTAGTAATCTTTTACAAAAATCTTCTCCTCTGAAACTACTGGGCCAAGTTAATTATAGATAGAGATAATTGTAAGCAGGAAAAATGTTCAGTAAATTAAGATGTACAAACACATCACCATCACCAAAACACAATTTTGTCATGAATCCATCTGCGTCCTTTGTTTAATATTCACATAGACCAAGGTGAGCGACACAGGCTCTTTAGAGCCTCTAGTTTTTCTTACAGTTATTTTATTTCTCCAGTGACAATGTGGGGACGTGGGGTATGTGAGCGCGCTCACTAAGGTTCTTTAATTCTGTACGCATTCAAACAGGTTCTGACCAGATTGAATCATTTGAATAAACCATATGTAATTAAATTTGTCTTTGTAATTGCCCACCTTATCCATTCTGATTATTTCACTGCATATTGAATTAAATCATTAGACAAACAAATTTACTTTAGGCAATGGAAGGTCCAGGACCTTTGACCAAAATGACTGAAAGGCCCTCTTTTATTCTTAGAAGGTCCACTATTTATGAAAACAGAAAATGCTTACCCTTCCAAAGCAATCAGCATGTGTTATTGTTTATACTAATATCTAAAAGCCGAAAAGAACCATGCATGCAATGTTTTTGGCTAATTATAGGTATAACTATTAAAGCTACATATAGTTCTGTTCTTTGTTTTATTAAATATCTTTTAATTGTTCTGCTTTCAATTGCTGCTTAAGAACACACTGGCCTACCCTTGTGTCAGATAACAGCTCCACTTTGTTTTCAAACTTGGGGCCAGTTTCTTTTAACCACTGTTTTTGGCAAGATGGGTGACTTGTTTATGGGTTCAAGTTATAGGTTGTTGTCCCACAAACTAGGCATTTTTGTGGGATATTTGACATAAAACTTGCACGACATTAAACATGTGTTAAACCAGTTGCCTCATCAAAATTCAGCCAAGGACTAATAACCTTCTGTTGGGTCAAAAACCTACGTTCTCGCTTTTCTCTGTCATATTTTTGGTCTTCAGTCAGATCCTGTCTTTTGGGCTGCATTTCATCAGTCACCCCTGCTGTATTACCTGTTTCATCAGGTTTTCTTTTGGAAGAGGTCATCCCAAAATAAAAAAGATTCATACTGTTTACTAGTTATGTTTTATAATATATTCTCGGGTTTCTTGATGTCTCATATGACAACCAGTCATGTGACTACACATCAAATCAGTTGTAAAGAATTTAAGCAAACACATAAGTTTCCTTTCATTAAAGTAACATTTTTTTAGATTATATTTATAGATTTTATTCAAAATTCTTTTGGATTGTTTTTTTCTTACCTGCAAAATACGAAAGTCAGCATGGTCAGTCGGGTGTAGCTAAATACTGACAAGAAGGTATGAACCCCGAAAAATGGTAGATCACACACCTCAGACCACCGCTTATTTGAACCCCTGACAAAACAGAATTTACTACTTAATCCTGTTCACTTTAATATTTGTCCAACTATTAATAGCTAGATTTTCTACTTTAATTCCTACAGAGTGGTGTGGTAAAAAGATATTATAAATAGCAAAACTGTTCAGCAAAATAGGTCAATAAATAAGTCAACATGGCAGAAATTGTCACATTTTCAACTCTTATTTTAGTATGCTTGGATAGATTTACTTGAAACTTTCACGTTTACTCAATTGTTGGAATTGGTAAAAGTATGATACCTTTTGATTTTGAAAATTTTTCTGATTTTTATTCCAGAGTTTTGGGACTTTAAACGTCAGATTTAAAGTGATTTGGCACATGTATAGCAATAGCTTTATCAATCTTGGATCAAATTACTACAAACTTTATACTGTTGTTGGGATCATTGATGAATATAGGCCTCTAGGCTCACTTATGATTTTGAAAAATTTTCTGGTCTGATGTCCAGAGTTATGGGACTTTTAACAGTCATATTTAAGGCTTATTTATACACCTTAGGATATCCTCATGCAAATTATTCTACAGTGCCATTTTACTGACTTTTGATTGAAAACCTTCTAAAAATTCCATTTTTTTCTTACAATTTCTACATGCTCTGTTATTTATATGCAAAAAATGGGTGTGTCATATGTTCTTAACACAGCTGTTTATTGTGTTTGGGGTACTGTCTCATTGGCACAAATTCCACATCTTGTTTTGTTGATGGTGATGAGTTGTAAGTTATGATTGTGAGGGCTTTTTATTCGACTGCAAAATTTTGCGGTCATATAATGTAATGACATCAGCAGAGACGTCATGGTGGTCCGAAGACATTTGGTTTCCAGACAATAACTTGTGTATAAGTTTATGGATCCCTATGAAATTGTACCTGAAGGTTCCAAACCACAAAAGGAAGGTTGGGAATCATTTTGGAGGTTATTGTCTGAATTGTTTAGGAATAAGGGGTCAAAAAGGGGCCAGAAACAAACATTCTTCTTGTTTTAGGACAATAACTTCAGTATAAGTTTATGAATCTCTATGAAATTGTACCACAAGGTTCTATACTTCAAAAGAAAGGTTGGGAAGATTGATTTTGGGGGTTATGGCCCAAATCTTTTAGGAATTAGGGGCTGAATAAGGGACCAAAAAACTAGGATTTTCTGGTTTCCAGACAATAACTTGAGTATAAGTCTATGGATCTCTATGAAATTATATTACAAGGTTCCATACCAAAAAATGGAAGGTTGGGATTGATATTGGGGGTTATCGCCTAAATCATTAAGGAATTAGGGGTCAAAAACAATAGATTATTAGCAACTACACTACAACTGAGGGGGATTTTAATTTTTGTCATTTGACCCGTCCACTTTGAGGAAATAAAAAAAATTTATTTTATACCTTTTTATACTGTATGAAAGCCTAATAGAATAGTATGCAAATTTCACAATTAGAAATACTGTTGAAAGTGGGCTGTAGAGTAGAACATTTTTGTGACGGACTTGCATTTATTTTCACTTTATATTTTGCGATCAAGTTCAAATCGCAAGAAAACACCTTTCAGTAAATTTCCTGTTTAAAGAAAATAAGAGACAAGACGAATGAAAATGTGAAAAATCAAACTGTGCAAACAGATACTGTATTTATAGAAACTTTGAAATTTAAACTGTACAGCGTATCAGATATAGATTATTCATCAATGTTAGTGTCAGACTTGATTTAAATTTTGGTTCATTTATATGTTTCAGAGTTTAGTGTGACGTCCATTTTCGCTGAAATAGTATACATTATTGTTTAGGGTGCAGGATTTTCTCACTGTGTTGAAGACCCATTGGTGGCCTTCAGCTGTTTTCTGCTCTTTGGTCAGGTTTTTGTTTCTTTGACACAGTCCCCGTTTACATTCTCAAGTTTATTGATGCTGCTCCATTTATAACAATTTTATTTAATAATGTAATATTACAGACGCTACACCTGTTACCACAGAAGACTCTGCTAATGAAATCAACCAAGATAATGGCTCACCACTGACAACCTCACAATTTAACCAGCAACAAACATTGCAGTCAACTCTATCACAGTTTTTATCATCAGGGAACCAGATTACTTATCCACAGATATTAAATCAGACACCAGGACAAGTAAACTTATCACAGATCATACAAGCCAATGGGCAAGTCATTCCTGCCAGTTCGTCATCGCCTGTCACACCCCAGATATTACAGGCAAATGGGCAGGTTATTCCTGTCAGCTCATCTTCTTCGAACATGCCACAGATCCTTCAGGCAAATGGGCAAGTTATTCCTGTCAGCTCAACTTCGTCTGCCATGCCACAGATCTTTCAGGCAAATGGGCAAGTAATTCCCGTCAGTTCATCTTCGTCGGCAATGCCACAGATCATACAGAATGGAACTATGCCACAGCTTGTACAGACAGGTGTGGCACCATCTGTATTTCAGTCAGGTCAGGTAATTCAAAGTGGCATGTTAACACAGGGAGGAAACCTTATTTCCCCATCTATGACACAGTCTACTGGAACATCAAACACTATGGGAACACCTCAGGTCATACAACTTGGACAGTCTACTGGAACATCAAACACTATGGGAACACCTCAGGTCATACAACTTGGACAGGTGCCAGGAATTCAGATGTCTTCTGGTGGACAACAAATTATGGTAACAAATATTTAAGAAATACAACTTTTTCTTGCTGACAAAGCCTTGGCAAAAAAAGGGATTTGTGTTTTAATCTTGACACTAACTAATCTAAAAGCAACGTTCAAGGTTACAGAAACTACATTTACTTCCAGCATCCATCATTAAATTTAACATCAAGTATCCACAGAAGGCTCCTGGGAAAATACAAACCTCTTAAATTTTTCGGTCAAAGGTCAAAGGTCCAGGTCACTTCTTCTTTATTTGGTGTCCAGTATGGATTTTGACCAGTTATGAAGTTGAAGTTGACATTTAAAGTCTTCATTATCAAAACAAACAAATTATTTATTGATTCAAAAATTGGTTTCTTCTGTCAAATCCATAATGATTGTAACCTTGCTAATACACACATGCCCATGGTGCTTCTGTCAAATAATACACACATGTCCATGGTGCTTCTGTCAAATCCATAACTATTGTAACCTTGCTAATACACACATGTCCATGGTGCTTCTGTCAAATCCATAACGATTGTAACCTTACTAATACACACATGTCCATGGTGCTTCTGTCAAATCCATAACAATTGTAACCTTGCTAATACACACATGCCCATGGTGCTTCTGTCAAATAATACACACATGCCCATGGTGCTTCTGTCAAATCCATAACTATTGTAACCTTGCTAATACACACATGCCCATGGTGCTTCTGTCAAATCCATAACAATTGTAACCTTGCTAATACACACATGCCCATGGTGCTTCTGTCAAATCCATAACTATTGTAACCTTACTAATACACACATGTCCATGGTGCTTCTGTCAAATCCATAACGATTGTAACCTTACTAATACACCATTGCCCATGGTGCTTCTGTTAAATCCATAACGATTGTAACCTTACTAATACACACATGTCCATGGTGCTTCTGTCAAATCCATAACGATTGTAACCTTACTAATACACACATGTCCATGGTGCTTCTGTCAAATCCATAACGATTGTAACCTTACTAATACACACATGCCCATGGTGCTTCTGTCAAATCCATAACGATTGTAACCTTACTAATACACACATGTCCATGGTGCTTCTGTCAAATCCATAACAATTGTAACCTTGCTAATACACACATGCCCATGGTGCTTCTGTCAAATAATACACACATGCCCATGGTGCTTCTGTCAAATCCATAACTATTGTAACCTTACTAATACACACATGTCCATGGTGCTTCTGTCAAATCCAAAACGATTGTAACCTTACTAATACACATATGCCCATGGTGCTTCTGTCAAATCCATAACGATTGTAACTTTGCTAATACACACATGCCCATGGTGCTTCTGTCAAATAATACACACATGCCCATGGTGCTTCTGTCAAATCCATAACTATTGTAACCTTACTAATACACACATGTCCATGGTGCTTCTGTCAAATCCATAACGATTGTAACCTTACTAATACACATATGCCCATGGTGCTTCTGTCAAAGCCATAACGATTGTAACCTTGCTAATACACACATGTCCATGGTGCTTCTGTCAAATCCATAACGATTGTAACCTTACTAATACACACATGCCCATGGTGCTTCTGTCAAATAATACACACATGTCCATGGTGCTTCTGTCAAATCCATAACAATTGTAACCTTGCTAATACACACATGCCCATGGTGCTTCTGTCAAATAATACACACATGCCCATGGTGCTTCTGTCAAATCCATAACTATTGTAACCTTACTAATACACACATGTCCATGGTGCTTCTGTCAAATCCATAACGATTGTAACCTTACTAATACACATATGCCCATGGTGCTTCTGTCAAATCCATAACGATTGTAACCTTGCTAATACACACATGTCCATGGTGCTTCTGTCAAATCCATAACGATTGTAACCTTACTAATACACACATGCCCATGGTGCTTCTGTCAAATCCATAACGATTGTAACCTTACTAATACACACATGCCCATGGTGCTTCTGTCAAATAATACACACATGCCCATGGTGCTTCTGGAATTTTTTTATTTTTATTTTTATAAATTTTATCATACTTTATTGATAATTTTGACATTCATATAGCTTCCAAAGAACCTTTGAAAAAAGAATAACCTATATTTTAAAAAAAGTAGGAAGAAAGAAATTAAAATTAATAAGAAATACAGAAATATGATATTTGGTGTACAGCAAAAATATGTCTTAATAACAGCTCACAAGTATGTTTTTTTCTGTAATATCTGTACAATCACAAATAATCATGAAAACATAAATGTAGTAAGGTATACACAAAAAAACAAAACAGCAAACTTAAAAACATATAACAGTATTAGATATGTTACATATATATTGATGTGAATAAGGTTTAAACTATTGTAAATTCAGAAATTATTGCATAAAATTGGGGAATGTGCATGCATTTATTATTGTGGTTTCTGAAGAATGGACAAAAATGTGAGACTATTTATTGCGATTTCAGGAAAATCTGCATACTGATGTTTGTATCAGTTATCTGAATGCGAGTTCTAATTATTGCGATACTCACCTTGTCGCATTATTCGCAATAATAAAAACCTCGCAATAATTTCTGAATTTACAGTATGCTGCTGGAATTTGTATGGTTGTTCCTTATCTGAAAGTCACATTCAGAGGAAAACTTTACAATGTACAATAAGAGACATCGGTCTTTGTCTGACAAACTTGGTTAAACTAGAACAACGAACAAGTTACTTTCTTTTAAACTCCCTGCTTTGAATGTTGGAATTAATTGCAGGTTTTGAATGGAGCCAATCTACAGAGAATGCCAATAAATGACAACAATGAAGAGGAACCTCTCTATGTCAATGCTAAACAATATCACCGGATACTGAAACGTAGACAGGCTAGGGCAAAACTAGAGGCTCAAGGCAAAATACCAAAGGAGAGAAGGGTAATAAAATTATGTTAGTGATTTGTCTCCCCTTCCTAATATTAAAATGTCACAAGACACTGACATGTAGACAGGCTACGAAAGATTACAGGTTGTTGACAAAATACCAAAGGAGAGACAGGAAATTAGTGCATGTAATGTTAGACTGATTTGTCTCCCCTTCTACATATAAAAATATCACAGGACACTGACACGTAGACAGAGGTTGTTGACAAAATACCCAAGGAGAGATAGGTAATAAGTTATGTTAGTGATTTGTCTCCCCTTCCTAATATAAAAACAATATGACAGGACACTGGAGTAAACTTGTTCATACAATACACAGCTTTCTTCAGTAACCTTTGAAAAATCAGCAATGTGAATCATTCCCATGAAAATTGAGGGTCTGAATGGGGATCCTTCATTTTTGTATTCTTAAATGTTTAGGTCAGTTTTCTCTATTTATATTATTTTGCCAATTATTCTCAATTTTTTATTTTTTGCCCTATTTTTATGTAATGCTATGTTTTACAGAAATACTTGCATGAGTCCAGGCATAAACATGCAATGCAGAGATGTCGGGGAGATGGAGGACGATTCTTCACGACAAAACTAGAACCCAATGATGAAGGATATGACGTCAAATCAGAACAATCTGTAAGTTTAAATGTTAATTTTTTATCTTCTGCTCACAATAAAATTTTTATTTCACAGCTTACGGTTAATTTGAAAACACTTGAAGCTGTGAATTTTTGTACCCCTGCTTAGACTGAGGAGGGTATACTTTTTTACCTCTCCTGTGTGTCCGTCCATCCTATGGTATTTCGTTGCATTTTTTTCTGGAACTATAAATCAGAGCTTTCTGAAATTCAGTATTTATTGTATTGCTGCTTACCAATGTTCAACAGATTGCTCATTAATGGTACTGTAGAAATACAAACATAGGAATGTTTACAGTATATAACCTCATAACTTCATGAAATTTGAAATTGACCTTTTAAATTTTAGGACGAATTTTGAAATTGACCTTTTAAATTTTAGGATGAACTTAAAAATTGACCATTTTAAATTTTAGGATGAACTTTGAAATTGACCTTTTAAATTTAAGGATGAACTTTGAAATTGACCTGAAATTGACCTTTTAAATTTAAGGATTAACTTAAAAATTGACCTTTTAAATTTTAGGATGAACTTAAAAATTGACCTTTTAAATTTTAGGATGAAATAACTGATGCATCTGCTGTTACAGACTTTTTGAATCTTGAGGATAGTGACCTTCGACCTCTAAAAATAAGTGAAGACAACAGCTGACAGAGATAAGACCGTCAATGATGAGACAGATGGCAGCAAGGGGGGTGGGGTATATATATATATCCAGTCATGTGCCATATTAACCAAACACAGTTAGCTATAACGAGACTTTTTTTGTATGAAACCTGCCTTAATCTGTTGTGACTGGACACATTCAGGTTACTGGTTACACAGGGGAACGGACACAGTGACGGTAGCCTATTGATAGCTGGACACTTATCTGTGATACAGAGGTAGAGAAGTTTATTCCAGGAAATGATCTATATTAAGTACATGATGTATATTTATAATGTATGTAGGAATTTTTCTTATTACAGGAAAAAAAAAATTCTGATTTAAATACAATCCTGTGTCTTAAGTTTTGCTTACAAGGATCTGACAACGCTCCCCTTTACTTTCTGTTCTGGTAATTATTACATCAGCCAATGAAATTTAAGGCTTCAAATTTGTGTATTTATCTGATAAAAAAAAGAGAACCCTGAAAGGTCTTTTAAACAGAAATTAGAACGAAGTGTTTTCAGATTCTGGTAAGCAAAGCTTGGACATAGGATCTGTATTTTATTCAGTTTGGGAAAACAATTATTTGAAGTATTTATTAATGCTGACTATCAAAATGAGTGTATATTATTGGTTTTGTCAAAAATGCTACAAATTCAGTGATTATTAAGTTAATAACTGAGAGAAATAGATTTGGTGAACTATTGAAGTAACTAAATGTCTTCTTTTGTCTGACTTTATTGTGTTGTTGAGTTTCTGTCTCATTGACCTCCACCTCTTCATTTTGTCATATACCTGAAACATGGAGGGGAACAAAACTGTATCCCTGTCTATATAAATCTTATGGAAAGAGTTGGTTTTGATGTAATAATTAAAAGCTTTAATGCATTTTCATTATACATACTCAGCAATTTTACAGACCCATTTTAACCATAAATGTGTAATGCACTTTTGAAATAAAAATGATTTTCAGACCCCATACAATACACTATGTTCATTCCACTGCCTTATCTATGATGAGTTTACTCATATAGGCAGGGGTACAGTTTGTCCTAAATTAAGTGTTGTTTCCCTTTGCAGATGATTCTGAACTTTTTAAATAAGTTGGTAATTGGAAAATAAAAGAAGAAAGTAGGTGTCAGACCACCAATTCAAAACCCCCATATAATCAACCACAGTTTTTCAATTTTCACAGCTTTCTAAATATTTTACCTTTAATTAGTTTAACTCCATAAAAGCCAGGTATATCCTGAATTGTAAATTCCAGTTTTCCACCAATGTTAAAAGTCTTGTGTAGTATACCACCACCATTCAGAAGCAGTTGCTACTAAAAATAACCACCAGTTTTCGGGAAATCCTAAATAAGTATTCTATGGAATGGAGTAGACCTGAATTTTTAATGCAAAATCATGTACAAGTAAATTTGGCTCAAAATGGTATAATTATATTTCTCTTTCACCAAAAGTTTTATTTCTGCAAATTTGTTAGTTATTTTAAGTAAACAATGAAAAGCACTATTTTTTGTCAGGGAAGGACTACTTTTACTTTGAATTGGTGGTCTTGACACTGAAGTACAGCAGGGTACATGCATTAGATAAAAATTATGATGAAAATTGATTTAACAATTCCTACATGGGTAACAATAAGTAGCAGAAGGATATATTGTCAAAGGGGATTATGGATTATATCATTTCCTCCGGCCTACTGCTATGCATTGTTGGAAGCCCATTTATGTTCTACTCTAATACACTACAGCATACATGAATTTTGTCATTTCCTACTGCCCACTGCTATGCATTGTGGGAAGCCCATTTATGTTCTACTCAAATACAATACAGCAAACATGGATTATGGCATTTCCTCCTGCCCACTGATATGCATTGTGGATTCTACTCAAAATCAAGTTCATAACTTTAACTTATTTTTCCACTGTCTTGTATGTTTAATTCTTATTATAAAAGAAACTAAATGGCATGTGATCTTTAAAATATTGACACAGGTGAAAATCCTTTGCCAACTGATTAAGGATTGAACTTCTAACATGGTATTAGGGGAATGAATAGTGGACACCATTTTATTTAATATCTATAATTTTTCTATTAGTGCTCCATTTTTTAAAGAAATCTTCATGCTTTATTTTAAATGTTGAGTTACCTCCCATGTGTGGCTGATAATTCATCTTCGTTTACTGTATACACAAAGGAGAAGAAGTAATTTTGGCCTTATTTAGTCTGTAAATTTATCAAAGATGAAAAGTTGTGTTACATCATTATTGACTTAAAATCTTCAACATTAATGACACATTTTTATTTGACTCTGATATTATTAAAAGTCATAATTGTTAAGTCTATAAAAGCAATAATGGCAAATTTCAGGGGTTATTTGGTTTAAATTCATGCCTTATTTACATACATTGAGTTATCGCCAATTTTGGGCAGATTTAAAGTCATAAGAAAGATTTGTGAAGTCTTGGCAAATTTCCCGATTAATTTGGTTCAATTAACTAAGACATATAAGAGCATATGAATCTTTTGGTGCCAGTGAACAGATCGTTACAAAACACACTTCATGTGTGAATTTCTTTTTTGGCAAGTACTATTCTCTATACTGTACATACTGTACAAAATGTGAAAGCCAAGCAGTTACGATTTTGTGTATTTTCACCATTTGACTGAATTTATCATCATTAAAAAACAAAATGTGCAGTGTTTTATTCAAATACAAAGATCCAATGTTTAATTCTGTAAATTGAAGAAAGTAAGAAAAACATTAGATATAAGGATAAATTTGACCCTAAATGATATCATACCTTCTCCATTATAAAATGTGTGATACTATAATATCAATCCAGCATATTAATGATTTTTTTCTAAGCCAAAAACACTATAATTCCATAGAATAATCATGTTTGTGTACATCATAGCATCATCATAGATTTGTTTATTATATAGAATACTGTCATGGAACCCTAACAAATAATTATAGTGTGCAATAGTCAATAGACACATGCTGTGTTAAACTTCTGATGTCTATTTTGTTTGATGTATATGTTTAAACTGCCACAGATTAAAATCATTTTTGTAAATCATTGAAAGCCTGGTGATAACTTATATTTCTGTGCAATGTATTTTTTGAACAAATTCATTCTCATCTTTGTGTAATTAAGAAATAATATTTGACGTGGAATCAAAAGGTAAAAGAGAGGTGAAAGATACCAAAGGGGCATTCAAATGTTGTAAGATACTTATAGCAAATACCACAGCTTTGATGGGCAAATTGCTTGGTAATGGCAAGTTTCATTGAGAATTTTTTAAGAGCAGTTATTTATATGATAATTTTTAAGAACTGTTAAAATCTAAATTCTAAATTTAATGAAAAGGAGATACATGCTATACAAGGGTGTGGATTGGGTTTACACAATAGGGAATAATGACTCCCCCTTTCTTTGCTTAAATATAAAGAACAGAGAATAATGAGACCCCCCCCCCCCAAAAAAAAAGTAAAATAACAAAAATACCGAACTCCAAGGAAAATTCAAAATGCCAAATCAAAAGCTTAAAACACCTGAAACGAATGGAAAACAACAACTGTCATATTCTTGACGTGGTACAGACATTTCCTTGGATTAAGCCTGGTTTTATAGCTAGCTATACCTCTCACTTGTATGAAGTTTTCCTGTGTTTTAGGGCAACAGTATCCTCAGTAACCATATTTATTCTAACCTTTTGATCTTTAGTGGATGTTTTGTCAAATCAAACCCCTGTATCTTTATTTTTATGTTAAAGGGAGACAACTTATGTTTTTCAGTTTCTCATTTATATGTGTTTTACCCAAGTTCAATTGGTCAGAGAGAGTACACATTGTACACAATAGATCTGTATTGTTTGTTTATATTATCTGTTATTTGTTTATTTTTATTTATATATGTCAGCTTTATTTAGCATTTACAATGTTTTGAAATAGTTTTAGCATAAGAGAATTTTACATCTCATTGTTTTAACCTTCTTTAAAGTGCAAAAACTTATTTTTTTTTGCATTTCTATACTACATGTATTTTTATTTCTATAAAGACAAAAAAAAATAATAAATGTTAATTGTCTTAGATGCATTATTTGTTAATAATATTGTTTATTAAGGATTATGTGTTTTTTTTTAAAGTTAAGATGAACTGAATCATGTTGGCTCAATACCATAGTTACCAATTTGAGAATCTGATGCATTGTGGGTATAATATTTTCAAATGCATACACCAAAACATTGTGATTGGTCCGAAATGTTTTAAACAAAAGAACATTTCATTTTGGAGAGGGAATGAAATCAACCACAAACCTATAGACTTGAAGAACAAATTCATATAAAAAAGGGGGTGAGTTGCATACTTGCTTTAAAATATATGTAAACCTAAAAAGCTAAGAATTTATTTATCAGTGTTATATCAGAGCTAAACATATCAGTCCAGAAATTTGCTAAAAAAATAAAATATAGAGACTTTTCAGTTGAAATTGTATGAAGGAAATACTTTTAGTCTAAGGTAAAAATCGGGTATTTTTTAAAGTAAAAAAAAAGTGTGAAACACTCAGAATCTGGTCATTTTTTAAAAAAGGCTAAAAAATTCAGAAACCATTTGATTAACTTACTATTTTTCTAAACTTTTATTTTATCATTTTAATGTTAAATTGATTTGTGTTTGTTTTCAGAAATGAACTTATTTATAATTAATGTATTGTTGAAAAAATAAAGAAATATAATTTAGAAATGATTATTTTATTTTAGACCATTTATAGATTGTTTTTCAAGTTAGATGAGTCAGCCATCTTGTTTTTAGCCAAGCTCCAATGAATGACGTCCAGATTCTGGAATAAACTATCAATTCATAAACAATATCATTACCAAACTTGGTTTGATAATGCCCCCAGTGTGAGGAAGAAATGATTTGGGATCAATAGGTCAAAGGTCACAGCAACAAGATTTGACAAACCCAAATTTTTATCTTTTTATACGCCTGTTTACGAGACTTATTATGGTATACTGTTGTCTGTCCGTCCCTCTGTTGTCAACATGTCGGACAATAACTCAAAAATGCTTTAACCAATTTGCATGAAACTTTGTTGAATTGTTTATATCTATTGACGAGAGCTTCCTTTTGTTTTTTATAAATTTTAGATTTTAAGTTTCCGAGTTGTGGGGTTTTATTCATTAAAAAAAGGGGGATTTTCCAGTTTTCAGACAATATCTTTAAAGTGCTTTGAGCAGTTTTCATGAAACATTGGTGACTGGTTTATATCTATTATGATAACCTCCCTTTAGTTTTTCATAAATTTCTGATATGACATTGAGAAGTTATTGAACTTTATTCTTTGAAAAAGCAACTGCGTATCATGCGCTCATGGCGCAGCTGTTTATTGCAACATGATTTTAGCCAACACAAAGGAGTAGGTTAACAAAGGGTTACAATTGGCCCTTCGATTTTAATATTTTTTAATTGGGCCAGAATACTACACATTTCACATTTAAATAGTTGTGATATTATTATTAATATAAATTTACTCTTTTTGGCACATCACATTACAAGTGACAAAGTTATAACCCCTTAATGGTGTATTATTAGTGTTGAAACATCAATTTTGGTCCAATTTTTCCATAATTATGAACAGGAAAATTTGCTTACATCCCTACCTCTGATTAAGAAAACTGTTGTCTAGGGATTCAGTATAAACCCTTGGCACCTTTTGGTTAAGAGAACATATTTGATCATAAGTAGGGGTCAAGGTTATCCTAAAACTTAGGTCCCAAAAAAGCACAAAACATTGTTTTTTGACATCTCCAAAATGTGATTACTGTACTTTGGTGCTTATAATGAACTTTTTTCATTCTCTCATATGTCACATCAGGGACTTGTATAGCTTTCTGTGCAGTATGGGTTTTGCTCATTGTTGAAGGCAGTACAGTAACCTATATTTGCAAACTTTTACATCATTTGGTCTCTGGTGGAAAGTTTTTTCATTGGCAATCATACCAGATCTTCTTATTTTTATATTGTATTAAGATATTTGTTTTGATTGGCATTTAGGCTTTTAATACATGCATTTTTGATAATTTTTGATAAAGTTGAAATTCAAGCCCATATTTAGTGAAAAGTGAACTAATGTATCCTTCTGCAATATGATTTGTCAAACCCAAACTTTCAGGTTTTGGCCAATCCAAATTTACGCTTCCACACCAGAATTTGGCCAACCAAAATTTGTTTTTGATTACATTATAAACTCCAAAGTCTGCACATTTTGGAGATGTTGTTAAAATACAATGAGTTTGTGGATTTTCCAGGGCTGTAAGGCTTTTATACCATAGCTGCTACCTAAGATCCAAAATGTTTTGTAACCAAAAGCACCATGGTTTATAATACTGAATCCTTGGACACAACAAATTTTTGGAGCAGGGATGGTGCTAAGGTTAATAATGTGGAAAGCTTTTATAAATTATGGAAAAAATTGAACAAAACAGCAGTTACAACACAAATAATGCAAAATTAAGGGGTCATAACTTCGTTATTTATAATGCAAGGTATCAAAATGAAATTATTTTGTATAAATAATAACATCACTACTATTTCTGTTTGAATTTTGTAGTATTTTGGCTGATTAAAAAAGCATTAAAATCCTAGGGTAAATTTTAGCCATTTTTTGTATCCCTCTGCAACAAGATTCGACCATCTCAAATTTTCAACAATCAACAACAAGAATTGGCCAAACCAAATTTTTATTCCTCTGCAACATGATTTGGCCAACCCAAATTTATATTCCTTAGCAACAGGATTTGGTCAACCAAACTTTGTATTCCTCTGCAACAGGATTTGACCAACCCAAATTTGTATTCCTCTGCAATAGGATTTGGCCAACCCAAATTTATATTCCCATAGAACAGGATTTGGACAACCAAAATTTGTATTCATCTGCAAGATTGCAACAGGACTTGGCCAACCCAAATTTGCATCATGTAACAAGATTTGATCAATAGGTTTTAATTGCAAGTAGTTAAATCTAAACCTTAAAAACAGATTTTTTAAGTTGTCAAAAGAAACATTCGACCATATCCATCTGTATGTTCCATTTTAATTATCTCTTTTTCCTCACAAAATGAAAACCTTCATATCTATCTTGTTTACACTAATTAAGTAGTTGTGGAATAGCATACCTAGGTCTTGATAATTGCGAGAAAAAAACAACGAAACAAAAAACAATGCATAGTCAATGCCAAGTATACCTCCACTAGTAAATCAACGGAAAACAGAAAGTTGGAGTCTCACAGATTTAAAAGGCAAACAAATTTTCAACTCATCTCAGTCAAGATGCAACTAAAAGTAATTTTGTTCAGAGAAATGTGTGAATTTTTTAAGTTTATTCAACATATTGAAAAAAATCAAAGTATCGGCAACAAGAAGTTGGTGTCTGACAGATCCAAACAATGGTTACATCATATGCAAATCATCACTGACCAGCTGCTGTCATTTTATGAAATCTTCTGCTCAGTTGCATCCAGAGAAAACTGTTAAGAAAATATTTGTTGGGTAAATAGACGAACATGCAGATGAAAAGGTGAAATTTACTATAATGTTGGTGTATAATAATATCTTAGTTATTCTGGGGGCCTTTATAGCTAAGCTTATAATAGTATATGGCTTTTGCTCATTGTTGAAGGCTATACTTGACCTAAAGTTGTTTTATACATCCTTGTCCTTTGATGTGATAATTAGTCTCATTGGCAATCTTATTGTGCCACCTGACAGCTTGAGCAACACTCCTGTCACCTTGTGTCACACTTTGTCTATCACAATCTCCATGGAAAGAGCTTGACAGAATTCAACCAAACATTCATAGATTTTTTAACAGAACATGAAATTTATAAAGTTTTGAGGTTTCTCACACCACAAAATGGACTCTTGCCATTTCTATTTATATTATTTGAAGATGGCCTGCAACACCGTCTTTCTTTAAAGACTCAGTTATCTATATCCTGAGTCATGGCATCTGGTAGAACATATTGAAACGTTAGTTCCTACAAGTCAGAGAGATTTAAAACTTGATGGATTCTTTCTTCAACTTTTTATTTTCATTCAGATCAACCATATTCTCTCACAACTCTTTCAAAATAAATTTTTAACGGCTGTTCCATTAAATCAAAATAGAAAATTCAGGAAGGATATTCTTAAAAACAGTCAGTTAACCACCAATTTGCTGTCAACTTATTCTAATCATTAACAATAAATGAATACTTTGATGTTGTTGTCTTTTTTAACAATAGAGTTGTATATTTCATATCTATTGCCCAACCCAATAGATGTGATTGACTGATTGATGGCTGGCTGCTTATCGTTCAGTGGCAAATATTTCATGCATGTTCAGGACGATCAATAGATGTGAATTGTATTGTTGTTAACAGTGAAGCTTTGATACAAATCACCTATCATACAAACTATTGTTGCTTTCCAGGGATCTGACTTAATAGAACAGTCCTCAACATAAACACCAGTTTATCATAAAAATAAGTACATATTTTAATGTAACAAGTTTATAAAAATAACATTAAATGTACTGTAAATTCAGAAATTATTGCCAGGTTTTTATTAATGCGAATAATGCGAGTGGATGAAGATCGCAATAATAAGAACTCGCATTCTGATATCTTATACTTATATCTGTATGCAGATTTTCCTAAAATCGCAATAATTAATCTCGCATTTTAGTCCATCCTTCAAAAATCGCAAAAATAAATGCACGCTATAATTTCTGAATTTACAATATGTATGCAGATTTTCCTTACAACTCAATAATTTATCTCACATTTTTGTGCACTTTTTCAAAAATTGCAATAATAAATGCACATAATAATTTCTGAATTTGAGTAATTTCTTTCAAAAACAAAATTGACCAATCAGATCATAAGATGACAGCATTAAGTTCATCTGTAAGAACTTTGAAGGTGAAATATTACCTAGCTCTTTAGGATTTTACATTGTAGAAACACAATCTTAATTCTGATGAAAAGTGTAATCCATGTAATGTAAAAATTATGCCAATTTGAATTCATGTGTTTAGTTTACACTAAACATGTGTTAGTGTAAGGTAAAAACCTGAAGGGCGTCAACATTTAACTTTATATCAAATAAGTTCATGATTATTATTATTGAAACATATATGCTCTCTAGAGAATGCTCCATTCTTTCAAAATAATGTGTGAATATAATATGTTGGCCATACATGCATACTGATGTTTTAGCATTTTACCTTAAAATATAACATAAAAAAATCAAAATCTAATAAAAAAAAAAAAAACATAACAAAACAAACAAAACCTACCAATAGATATAAGAAGATGTGGTATGAGTGCCAATGAGACAACTCTCCATCCAAGTCAAAATTTATAAAAGTAAACCATTATTCTACAATAACTAGAATTAGACTATTCATATTTACTTAATATAACATTCTACCGACCTTGCAAGACACTCAAGGGAAGTCAAGGTTGTTAAACACCCCCTAGTAGAAGTAGAAGATTCTCTCTCTTTTTTGTCAACACAAAAATTTTCATGTTTCTAAAATATTATATTTTTCAAAAATAGAACTAGCTTATCAAAAAAGGAACTTATTTGCAAATCAATAACACAATACCAATACACAAAATACTTACACCTCTTATAACTCTTCCAAATGAAATATTCTGCGTAAAAAAGTAAAATTTTGAATTTGAAGGAGATGACATAAAAATTCTGCAAACCTGCATTCTTTCAGGAAGTCATCGATGATAGTCTTAAGAAACACACTATCAATGTCACAAAAAAGAATTCATTCAGTTTGTGACTATTTATAAAAAAAAAATGTAGTCAGACATTACAATTTGAGTGAGCAGAAGGCTGGATTACAGTATAAATAACCACATCACCTTATTTTTCTAAAGATGTGACTAAATTGATATAATAATAAAAGAAACTATCTTACATAAAATAAATATTTTCTATTGTTCAGTAAAAGATGTTTACATTATCACAGTAATGGCAACTAATAAATTTCTGATCTACAACTCTACAGTAAAAAACAATACTGTATCATAGATGATTTCCATATGCAAAGGGGAATAACTCTAGCTAAATCTTGAAACTTGGAATTGAGAACATTGCATTATCCTTTGTGGTATCAGAGACATGTATTATATGTCTCTGGTGGTATAGTATGGAAAATCAACCTATAGTTTAACAACTTAACAAAACTTTTACATTATATCCTAAGTTTTTTTCTGAATAAATAGTAAATTAGAAAGCATTTCAGTTATCTCCCCTTTTTGTTCATCTATGCCAAACTGTAAAATTTCAATTCCAACCATAAATTTGAATTCCTCTTTGTGACTTTGGAGGGAATAATTATAAGGTCATAACTGACATTTATGCAATATTGTTTTGAGTATCAATACTGTTTGAGTATGAGGGCTGTTCCATTAAAACATACATGGGACTACATGTACTTTTGGTGGTAGTCAAGTACAGTGAAAATGTAGGTGAAATTCCATTTTGCCTCTTTAGGTAGTGACACCATTTTAAAAGGGCTATCCTTGGGTAGAGACCATATCCCACATGTTAAATTAACTAACCAACCAACCAACCAACCAATCAATCAATCAATTCATAAACCAACCAACCAACCAACCAACCAAGCAATCATTCATTGTGTGCATGTTTCCGTCTCGTGTGTTTAATACGGGGTCCAAGATTTCTGTTGTTTCTTTTTTCGCTTGTTTCAAGAGACCCTATCCCACGTGTTTAATCAACCAACCAATCAACAAATCAATCAACCAACCAACTAACCAACCAACCAATTAATTAATTAATTAATTAATCAATCAATCAATCAATCAATCAATAAACCAACCAACCAACCAATCAATCATTCATTCATTCATTGTATGCATGTTTCCGTCTCATGTGTTTAATATTGTATTTACATCTCTTCTGAAAAAGAAAATCCACATGCTTGTTAATAATTATCAGATGTTCTGGGAAACTACATGTCCAACTGACCCCAAAATTTGCATTTAGCAGGGTATACATGTATTACATCTTCATAAAACAATGTGGTGCAGATATCTTTCAAGAATTTTCCTAGAGAAAAGAAATTGCAATGCCGTAAAAATCGCTTGCTAGCTCCGTAAATCTCAGTGAAATCCTATAATAAAATGTCTGCTCCTACATTAAAATACAAATCTGTGTTACAAACTGCTGCTGAAAAATGTACATTGTATGAAAATAATCGATAAACGTGTTTTAAAGTTACACAGGATCAATTAAATCCAAAGCATGCACTGCTCATGAACTGTGATCGAAACGTCAATTACCTACAATGACAAAAGAAATACATTGTGTGTATTCCGTCGCTATACATGTTGTCTGTCCAACGTCCCCACCTAAAAAGAAATAAAAATACTAAGTTTTCGCTATTATAAAGCTTCGTCACGTGACGCCACAATCTGGCGCGAGACAAAGACGCGCGCGGGACCTAAAATAGAATAAAAACTTTCCACACTAAATATAGAAACTTAACCAACACACTTATATGGACCTTTCAAAGAAAGAAACAAACAAACAAACACACAAACAAACATACACATATATCAATCAATCAATCATGTTTCAGAAGGGGAAAGACCGTTTACAATTGCTTTTTTAAGCAATTGATTTATATTTATGGTATACTGTTGTCCGTCCGTCCCTCTGTTGTCAACATGTCGGACAATAACTCAAAAACGCTTTAACCAATTTTGATGAAACTTTGTTGAATTGTTTATATCTATTGACGAGAGCTTCCTTTTGTTTTTTATAAATTTTAGATTTTAAGTTTCCGAGTTGTGGGGTTTTATTCACTAAAGAAGGGGGGATTTTCCAGTTTTCAGACAATATCTTTAAAGTGCTTTGAGCAGTTTTCATGAAACATTGGTGACTGGTTTATATCTATTACGATAACCTCCCTTTAGTTTTTCATAAATTTCTGATATGACATTGAGAAGTTATTGAACTTTATTCTTTGAAAAAGCAACGGGCCTATCATGCGCTCATGGCGCAGCTGTTTATTGCAACATGATTTTAGCCAACACAAAGGAGTAGGTTAACAAAGGGTTACAATTGGCCCTTAGATTTTAATATTTTTTAATTGGGCCAGAATACTACACATTTGACATTTAAATAGTTGTGATATTATTATTAATATAAATTTACTCTTTTTGGCACATCACATTACAAGTGACAAAGTTATAACCCCTTAATGGTGTATTATTTGTGTTGAAACATCAATTTTGGTCCAATTTTTCCATAATTTTGAACAGGAAAATTTGCTTACATCCCTACCTCTGATTAAGAAAACTGTTGTCTAGGGATTCAGTATAAACCCTTGGCACCTTTTGGTTAAGAGAACATATTTGATCATAAGTAGGGGTCAAGGTTATCCTAAAACTTAGGTCCCAAAAAAGCACAAAACATTGTTTTTTAACATCTCCAAAATGTGATTACTGTACTTTGGTGCTTATAATGAACTTTTTTCATTCTCTCATATGTCACATCAGGGACTTGTATAGCTTTCTGTGCATTATGGGTTTTGCTCATTGTTGAAGGCAGTACAGTAACCTATATTTGCAAACTTTTACATCATTTGGTCTCTGGTGGAAAGTTTTTTCATTGGCAATCATACCCGATCTTCTTATTTTTATATTGTATTAAGATATTTGTTTTGATTGGCATTTAGGCTTTTAATACATCCATTTTTGATAATTTTTGATCAAGTTGAAATTCAAGCCCATATTTAGTGAAAAGTGAACTAATGTATCCTTCTGCAATATGATTTGTCAAACCCAAATTTTCAGGTTTTGGCCAATCCAAATTTACGCTTCCACACCTGAATTTGTTTTTGATTACATTATAAACTCCAAAGTCTGCACATTTTGGAGATGTTGTTAAAATACAATGAGTTTGTGGATTTTCCAGGGCTGTAAGGCTTTTATACCATAGCTGCTACCTAAGATCCAAAATGTTTTGTAACCAAAAGCACCATGGTTTATAATACTGAATCCTTGGACACAACAAATTTTTGGAGCAGGGATGGTGCTAAGGTAAATAATGTGGAAAGCTTTTATAAATTATGGAAAAAATTGAACAAAACAGCAGTTACAACACAAATAATGCAAAATTAAGGGGTCATAACTTCGTTATTTATAATGCAAGGTATCAAAATGAAATTATTTTGTATAAATAATAACATCACTACTATTTCTGTTTGAATTTTGTAGTATTTTGGCTGATTAAAAAAGCATTAAAATCCTAGGGTAAATTTTAGCCATTTTTTGTATCCCTCTGCAACAAGATTCGACCATCTCAAATTTTCAACAATCAACAACAAGAATTGGCCAAACCAAATTTTTATTCCTCTGCAACATGATTTGGCCAACCCAAATTTATATTCCTTAGCAACAGGATTTGGTCAACCAAACTTTGTATTTCTCTGCAACAGGATTTGACCAACCCAAATTTTTTATTCCTCTGCAACAGGATTTGACCAACCCAAATTTATATTCCCATAGAACAGGATTTGGACAACCAAAATTTGTATTCATCTGCAAGATTGCAACAGGACTTGGCCAACCCAAATTTGCATCATGTAACAAGATTTGATCAATAGGTTTTAATTGCAAGTAGTTAAATCTAAACCTTCAAAACAGATTTTTTTAGTTGTCAAAAGAAACATTCAACCATATCCATCTGTATGTTCCATTTTAATTGTCTCTTTTTCCTCACAAAATGAAAACCTTCATATCTATCTTGTTTACACTAATTAAGTAGTTGTGGAATAGCATACCTAGGTCTTGATAATTGCGAGAAAAAAACAATGAAACAAAAAACAATGCATAATCAATGCCAAGTATACCTCCACTAGTAAATCAACAGAAAACAGAAAGTTGGAGTCTCACAGATTTAAAAAGCAAACAAATTTTCAACTCATCTCGGTCAAGATGCAACTAAAAGTAATTTTGTTCAGAGAAATGTGTGAATTTTTTAAGTTTATTCAACATATTGAAAAAAATCAAAGTATCGGCAACAAGAAGTTGGTGTCTGACGGATCCAAACAATGGTTACATCATATGCAAATCATCACTGACCAGCTGCTGTCATTTTATGAAATCTTCTGCTCAGTTGCATCCAGAGAAAACTGTTAAGAAAATATTTGTTGGGTAAATAGACGAACATGCAGATGAAAAGGTGAAATTTACTATAATGTGGGTGTATAATAATATCTTAGTGATTCTGGGGGCCTTTATAGCTAAGCTTATAATAGTATATGGCTTTTGCTCATTGTTGAAGGCTATACTTGACCTAAAGTTGTTTTATACATCCTTGTTCTTTGATGTGATAATTAGTCTCATTGGCAATCTTATTGTGCCACCTGACAGCTTGAGCAACACTCCTGTCACCTTGTGTCACACTTTGTCTATCACAATCTCCATGGAAAGAGCTTGAATTCAACCAAACATTCATAGATTTTTCTACAGAACATGAAATTATAAAGTTTTGAGGTTTCCCACACCACAAAATGGACTCTGCCATTTCTATTTATATTATTTGAAGATGGCCTGCAACACCGTCTTCCTTTAAAGACTCAGTTGTTTATATCCTGAGACATGGCATCTGGTAGAACATATTGAAACGTTAGTTCCTACAAGTCAGAGAGATTTAAAACTTGATGGATTCTTTCTTCAACTTTTTATTTTCATTCAGATCAACCATATTCTCTCACAACTCTTTCAAAATACATTTTTAACGGCTGTTCCATTAAATCAAAATAGAAAATTCAGGGAGGATGTTCTCAAAAACAGGCAGTTAACCTCCAATTTTCTGTCAACTTATTCTAATCATTAGCAAAAAATTAATACTTTGATGTTCCTGTCTTTTTTAACAATTGAGGTGTATATTTCATATCTATTGCCCAACCCAATAGATGTGATTGACTGATTGATGGCTGGCTGCTTATCGTTCAGTGGCAAATATTTCATGCATGTTCAGGACGATCAATAGATGTGAATTGTATTGTTGTTAACAGTGAAGCTTTGATACAAATCACCTATCATACAAACTATTGTTGAATTCCAGGGATCTGACTTAATAGAACAGTCCTCAACATAAACACCAGTTTATCATAAAAATAATTACATTTTTTAATGTAACAAGTAAATAAAAATAACATTAAATGTACGGTAAATTCAGAAATTATTGCCAGGTTTTTATTAAATGCCAGTAATGCGACTGGTCGAGTACAGCAATAATAAGAACTTCCATTTTGATATCTGATTCATATACTGTAAATTCAGAAATTATTGCCAGGTTTTTATTAATGCGAATAATGCGAGTGGATGAAGATCGCAATAATAAGAACTCGCATTCTGATATCTTATACTTATATCTGTATGCAGATTTTCCTAAAATCGCAATAATTAATCTCGCATTTTAGTCCATCCTTCAAAAATCGCAAAAATAAATGCACGTAATAATTTCTGAATTTACAGTATGTATGCAGATTTTCCTTACAACTCAATAATTTATCTCACATTTTTGTGCATTTTTTCAAAAATTGCAATAATAAATGCACATAATAATTTCTGAATTTACAGTAATTTCTTTCAAAAACAAAATTGACCAATCAGATCATGAGATGACAGCATTAAGTTCATCTGTAAGAACTTTGTAGGTGAAATATTACCTAGCTCTTTAGGATTTTACATTGTAGAAACACAATCTTAATTCTGATGAAAAGTGTAATCCATGTAATGTAAAAGTTATGCCATTTTGAATTCATGTGTTTAGTTTACACTATAAAAAGGGCAAATTATAAGAATTTTCAATGATGAATAAAATTGAGAATGGAAACATGTGTTAGTGTAAGGTAAAAACCTGAAGGGCGTCAACATTTAGCTTTATATCAAATAAGTTCATGATTATTATTATTGAAACATATATGCTCTCTGAGAATGCTCCATTATTTCAAAATAATGTGTGAATATAATATGTTGGCCATATATGAATACTGATGTTTTAGCATTTTACCTTAAAATATAACACAAAAAAATCAAAATCTAATATTAAAAAAAAACACATAACAAAACAAACAAAACCTACCAATAGATATAAGAAGATGTGGTATGAGTGCCAATGAGACAACTCTCCATCCAAGTCAAAATTTATAAAAGTAAACCATTATTCTACAATAACTAGAATTAGGCTATTCATATTTACTTAATATAACATTCTACCGACCTTGCAAGACACTCAAGGGAAGTCAGGGTTGTTAAACACCCCCTAGTAGAAGTAGAAGATTCTACCGACCTTGCAAGACACTCAAGGGAAGTCAAGGTTGTTAAACACCCCCTGGTAGGAGTAGAAGATTCTACCGACCTTGCAAGACACTCAAGGGAAGTCAAGGTTGTTAAACACCCCCTAGTAGAAGTATAAGATTCTACCGACCTTGCAAGACACTCAAGGGTAGTCAAGGTTGTTAAACACCCCCTAGTAGAAGTATAAGATTCTACCGACCTTGCACGACACTCAAGGGTAGTCAAGGTTGTTAAACACCCCCTAGTAGAAGTATAAGATTCTACCGACCTTGCAAGACACTCAAGGGTAGTCAAGGTTGTTAAACACCCCCTAGTAGAAGTAGAAGATTCTACCGACCTTGCAAGACACTCAAGGGTAGTCAAGGTTGTTAAACACCCCCTAGTAGAAGTAGAAGATTCTACCGACCTTGCAAGACACTCAAGGGTAGTCAAGGTTGTTAAACACCCCCTAGTAGAAGTAGAAGATTCTACCGACCTTGCAAGACACTCAAGGGTAGTCAAGGTTGTTAAACACCCCCTAGTAGAAGTAGAAGATTCTACCGACCTTGCAAGACACTCAAGGGTAGTCAAGGTTGTTAAACACCCCCTAGTAGAAGTATAAGATTCTACCGACCTTGCAAGACACTCAAGGGTAGTCAAGGTTGTTAAACACCCCCTAGTAGAAGTATAAGATTCTACCGACCTTGCAAGACACTCAAGGGTAGTCAAGGTTGTTAAACACCCCCTAGTAGAAGTATAAGATTCTACCGACCTTGCAAGACACTCAAGGGTAGTCAAGGTTGTTAAACACCCCCTAGTAGAAGTATAAGATTCTACCGACCTTGCAAGACACTCAAGGGTAGTCAAGGTTGTTAAACACCCCCTAGTAGAAGTATAAGATTCTACCGACCTTGCAAGACACTCAAGGGTAGTCAAGGTTGTTAAACACCCCCTAGTAGAAGTAGAAGATTCTACCGACCTTGCAAGACACTCAAGGGTAGTCAAGGTTGTTAAACACCCCCTAGTAGAAGTATAAGATTCTACCGACCTTGCAAGACACTCAAGGGTAGTCAAGGTTGTTAAACACCCCCTAGTAGAAGTAGAAGATTCTACCGACCTTGCAAGACACTCAAGGGTAGTCAAGGTTGTTAAACACCCCCTAGTAGAAGTAGAAGATTCTCTCTTTTTTGTCAATACAAAAATTTTCATGTTTCAAAAATATTATATTTAAAAAAAATAGAACTAGCTTATCAAAAAAGGAACTTATTTGCAAATCAATAACACAATACCAATACACAAAATACTTACACCTCTTATAACTCTTCCAAATGAAATATTCTGTGTAAAAAAGTAAAATTTTGAATTTGAAGGAGATGACATAAAAATTCTGCAAACCTGCATTCTTTCAGGAAGTCATAGATGATAGTCTTAAGAAACACACTATCAATGTCACAAAAAAGAATTCATTCAGTTTGTGACTATTTATAAACAAAAAATGTAGTCCGACATTACAATTTGAGTGAGCAGAAGGCTGGATTACAGTATAAATAACCACATCACCTTATTTTTCTAAAGATGTGACTAAATTGATATAATAATAAAAGAAACTATCTTACATAAAATAAATATTTTCTATTGTTCAGTAAAAGATGTTTACATTATCACAGTAATGGCAACTAATAAATTTCTGATCTACAACTCTACAGTAAAAAACAATTATGTATCATAGATGATTTCCATATGCAAAGGGGAATAACTCTAGCTAAATCTTGAAACTTGGAATTGAGAACATTGCATTATCCTTTGTGGTATCAGAGACATGTATTATATGTCTCTGGTGGTATAGTATGGAAAATCAACCTATAGTTTAACAACTTCACAAAACTTTTACATTATATCGTAAGTTTTTTTCTGAATAAATAGTAAATTAGAGAAAGCATTTCAGTTATCTCCCATTTTTTGTTCATCTAATCCAAACTGTAAAATTTCAATTCCAACCATTAATTTGAATTCCCTTTTGTGACTTTGGAGGGAATAATTATAAGGTCATAACTGACATTTATGCAATACTGTTTTGAGTATCAATACTGTTTGAGTATGAGGGCTGTTCCAATAAAAACATACATGGGACTACATGTACTTTATAAATCTCAACTATCGGTGGTAGTCAGTGAAAATGTAGGTGAAATTCCATATTGCCTCTTTAGGTAGTGACACCATTTAAAAAGGGCTATCCTTGGGTACCATGTATGTTTAAATGGAACAGTCCTAAAAAACCCTCTTGGTATAAATCAAAAATAGAATTTGAATCATCTCCTCAGATAAGATACAACCCTACACCTATCAAATTCACACAAGATGTGATGAAAGATGTTTCATGAATATCAATTGAAAATGCTTTTAGATTAAAAGCACTGTTAAACAAATTTATGAACTGACATTCTAGGATACCAGAATTACGACTGGTTTCCTGTTGACTGAGATTTTTAATGGTCCAAGATCCAAGGGAAGATTAAGTAACTGCCTGAAATCCAGTATAAACTAAGCAGAACTACACAAATTATTGGATTTAAGAATGATGCATTGTGGGATATCTTCAATATCAAACTCACAACAGGAAACAATGAATTTGCCATTAGGTTATTGACAATTGTCCTAAAATTAGCAAAAATACTTCTTAACAATATAAATGAATAAACGGAAATGAGGGGTATACTTCAAAAAGAGCAAACAGACGACAATCCAAAAATTACGCCACAGTTGTCAAGTCTACTGACTTAAATCATTACTCAGTCAGGTGTTAGTATTGGATTGTAATTCCTATAATCCTTTTTATTTACAATGTTAAGATCAAAACCCAGATCTGTTTTATTCATTTCTCTAAAATTTTAACATGTGAAGTAACTTGTTCTGAATAGTACTAAAAATTGTTGGTCACATGAATTTTTATAGGTGTGAACCTACTGATATAAAGAAGAGATTGGACCAGGATCCCAGGCAAGTTTGGTCATGACAAAAGTAAATGATAACACTCAACCACATGAGAAATGTAAATGATAAAATACAAAATGATGGAAATAAAAATACATAAACAAACAATAACAAATGTACAAATTATAATGTCTATAAACTTTGATCTTGATTTTCATACTCCTGTTCATCTCCAGGAATAGATTGTTCTTCATTTCTCCATTTCTGTGTCAGATTTATAACATTTCCTGGAAAAAGAACGAATGCATATTAGGAAGTGACAAAACACTGAAAATCTCTAGTTTATACAATAGAGTTCAATTGGATTAATCATCTGACCACACCGACAAAATGCCATATCTTGGAAATAGTCTTCATCTTTTGCTTTCATTACCTTTTTTAATATTAAATCTAAGGTTACATTTGAGCGTCAAGCCCTGGACAGCCCATGGAGAGGTTGTGGAAGTGAATGAATCTACCGAAACTGTAGTGTATGATGTTGCAAATGTTATGATAGATTCATATTTTTGTCTTAAAAAAAACAGAAAGCATATAAAAATACACATAGAAATGTTTTGTTTACATTGAATCAATACTATGTGTTACAAGGTTTCACTGATAACCAAACATTAATTTTAGCCCCTAGAAACTTGTAAAGGCTCTCTTTTATGTGATATGTACATATCTGTTGCAATGGTATCTATGGTATTCTGTGGTGGATTGAAGGGTGCATGCAGGGAAGAGATAGTAAATTTGTAAGTGAGATATAGCATTTTCTAGACATGGCCAAATAAAAGTGATGTTTACATATCTGTTGTAATGGTATCTATGGTATTCATGTGGTGGATTGAGGGGGTGCATGAAGGGAGGGGATAGTAAATTTATATGTGAGGTATAGCATTTTCTTGGATTATCAAACTTTACTCAAGTGACAGCTTTATTACCGATAAAGCATTTTAAAACAAAAAATAGTGCAAATTGGCAATTAAGAAACCAGATTTCAATGAAATGACTAAAATTATTATATTTCTGTGTACAAAAAATAATCCTAATCTGCCATTTCGCTCATTGATCTTACAGTTTAGGTCTTGTCTGTCAAATATGACTGTTTCCAGACCCTTGGATGGTACATTTATAAGTGGGATTGAACATTTTCTAGACATGGCCACATAAGGCCAAAATAAATTAATAGTGTGTTTCCTATTTCATCTTCAAAAAAATTAGGTAGGGTAGGTAGGTAAAACATTTTATTTTATGAAAACATTTTATTTTTTTTTTAATTGATGGGTCGACAGCAGAAAAAAGTTCCAAATCAAATAGTTTGATGTGCGGGCTTCTCTGATCTTTAGAAAAGTAATTAAATCTACAGCTTTTTTAATTTTCTGTTTTAATTCTGCGTCAGAAATATGAAAATAAACTTTAATGAAAATTTTATGCATTTCATTGGTCGTAAAAAGAAAAGTGTATGTTCTTCACGATTAATTATCTTAAACCAAAAATGGCAGTGAAAAATCTGGCATGGTATGTTATTATGTTGATCCTCGTTGAACCTAAAAATGTAAATGTCACACAGGGTATACATATGGAAGCAGATTCGTACCCCTTGAAAAAACTGTGAACCGATGCTAAGCAGCAGATAATTATGATTTTTTTAGGGTTAATACTCTGCCCTTGCACCCTCTTTATTTAATATACAGATGTGTTTTGATGTTTGACAAAATGTGATGGTGATTGAAGATTGGGTGGTTCTGACAATATTAAAATTCCAGGTTTTGAGAAGAGTGAGAATGTGAAATCTTTGTCTTATTAATGATGGTAGTAATGCCTGTTACCGTCAGGCGTCAAATGGTAATTTTTGGCTACCGTTAGCGTCAAATTGGTCAAAATTTTATCTTAATTCATCAAAATATCCTTATCCTGATTCTTCAGAGCAAGGATTTGTATACTATAGGTCTCAGATAATTATCGTTACCGTTTTTTGGGAAATTTTTTTACGTGATTCGTCAAGATCAGTCGATTTTTTTACCGTCTAAAAGAAAGTGTACATTTTATCGTCATGCACTAAAAATTACCGTTAACGTCGTTTGGCAAGATTTTTTAGCGTTATTCTGTCTACATATGATTGTTCTGCCTAACAGAAGTTCCACTGGAAACTTTGTTATAACCAATGTCATAATATCTGTTCCTGTTGGAATAAATATTCTATACCATTCATTCCGTAAGGAACATATACTGTAATATTTATTCCAGTGGAAATAATATTCCAGAACACTTTTTCCATTTGGAACTTCTATTTCGTGACAATTCGTCGTGAAGGTACCTCATTAATCTACTGGTCAAATAAATTGCAGATGTAAATATGACAGGATTTTTTCCCTTTTCTTGTATAAATTGTTATGGGACCAGCCAGAGAAATAAAAAAGAATAAAAGTAGACATGGTGCTGGGGCAGATTCATTTATAAATGAATATGAATCATACACCATGTCTGCCTACTGGGGAAAGCTTCTGAAGTTTCATCTTTCTCGTTCCACATTGTCTGTTCCCTTGCCATCATAAACTAAAAAGCATTAACAGCCGTTTATGTTGCGTCTTGGGCACAATTCTGTACAACATTCGTAAGAGCATGTTTTACAACAAAAGCTGGATTGATTTTAGCAGTTTTTACTATAAAATTGTTAGTCAATTTACCGACAGTTACAGTCTGTCCAACCTGAAACGATTCTGACTGTTGCCGCGGGTCCAAAGAAGCACAGGTACTAGACGAGATTTAGTAAATATATGTATATATACTGAATAGACTTCATTATATATACAAATATTTAAAAAATCTCGCTTGTAAAGGCTGTTCAAAGAAGTTGAACAAAGTGCGTCAACTTCGTATTTTTTTCGTCTATAGGTCCGCTTGATGTTCATCAAAAAGATTCATCATATCGTAATTATCCGGATTCGATGTCATTATATTTTGCGTGCATGTGATCACATTTCGCATATTTGACAGCTAATACGCTACACGGTTGCCGAAAAGCCATGCTTGTTTATTTAAAATCTTGGTCCTTGAAACGCTTTACTTATCAATATTGGTCGTTATTATCAAACGCTTTGAAGATCTATAGTATTCTAAACGAATAATCGGATCCGGACTGACTGACAAATCCGGATTTTGAATTTTTATTTTATTTTTGTCAATAAAATGTTTAGGGTCGGCGTCGGAAACGGAGGTAGGGTCGGGAAACCGGAAACACGCCATTTATTTATTTTGGCCTAACAGTGATGTGTACATACTTGCTATTACTCTACTAACAGTTTTTCTTTCATTAGTCGTGGGATCTTCATATTTTTTATTTGACAACTGTCCTTGTATCAAAAGCCGATCTCTAAAATATAAAAACATCTCAATAAGAAGACTTAAACACACCAAAAAATGCTAGTGTAACTGGGAATATTTCAACACAGCTTGCATTGTGTTACCTGTAAAGTTTCAAAATTTTCCTAGATGGCTATGCAAAACCAAACTGTAAATGTGTTACCCACTTAAAGATCTTCTTTGTTGTTGTTAAGGTCTGTTTTAGGGCCGATTGTTAGGGGTCAGAGAAGGCACCACTATTAAAATCGATTGGTGATTATTTTAGAACAATTATAGGAAATAATCAAAGAGTGAGAGGAGTGTTAGAATAAAAAGTGCCTTCTGACTACCTAATACATTTATTTCTGGATTTCTGTGACAGTCGTAATCATTCGGCTGGTTGTTAAATTGTTAATTAATTGAACAGCTACTGCAAAAAGTGCTGACTCTGAGCAATGTTGTAACAACACTGTACCTGCTTGATGGTTTATATATACAGTGTTTGTATATGTATTAGAATAAAGATTTTGATTACCATCAAAAATTTGGCCCCAGGATCACTGAAGAGACATAATTTGTAAAAATGTTTATTTGGTGCAGTAAAATTGGTATTTTTTTAATGTTTTATGAATGTTTCTATAATCATATGTCATTTACTGTGGATTCATTTATTTTCATGGGAACCAATTTTTGTGGAATTGTGTTTTTGTGGATGTTTCGTTTTATGGTGCCTCCATTTTAGCATATGGAAAATTTATACTTCATTGAACATTTAAATTCTTGGTTTGCTTATACATGTTATACCCACTATTAAAGTCCACGAAAATTGATATCCCAGGAATATTAATGATTTCACATTACCTCCTTTTCTTGGTGATATTAACAAGGCCTAAGGTTGTATGAATAGTTAATAAATAAATGATGAATCCTGTTCACCAGTACTCTTCACATTGATTTCAGCCAAACTATTTGTCTACCAAAATATGCCTGATTCATCAGGATGTGCGCTGAAGTAAAACTGGTTTAAATCCATCAACTTTTATGTATCTACCAACTTAGGCTATCTGGACCATTTGTTGTTTGTGTTGGTCTTCAGATATATTCTCTCCAAGTAGGTTTTGGTGTAGTTTGTTGTTTGTGTTGGTCTTCAGCTGTATTCTCTCCAAGTAGGTTTTGGTGTGGTTTGTTGTACAATATTTTGGGCCTGTTATGTATTATAAAGTATTATCAGTGGCGGATCCAGGGTGGGAGGGGGGTTCCAGAGGTTGGAACCCCCCCCCCCCCCTTTTTTATTACTATCAATGCTTTTGAATGGGGACATATGGTTGGAACCACCCCTTTTAAAAATGGCTGGATCCGCCCTTGATTATTACAATCAGTGCTCTTACCCTTTCTTAATTTTACTGGCTACAAAGTCCCGTGTGAATGGGTTGAACACAACAATATTGTGCCAATCTGTATCATGTGTAATTTCTCCTGGAAGGGAATATAAATTCTGAGTTAATAGTATCTCCAACCTACAAAAATATTCTCAGAGGAAGGGGATCTTTCCATACTCAGAGTAGTAGAAGAAAAATGAATTGACAAAAATACTGAACTCAATTCAAAGAGGGGGAAATTTATAAAATATGACATAACCAAACACTATAAAACTATATCAACCAACAGAACAACTGGAAATCACCTGTCATATTTCTGAATTGGTATAGATGTTTTTGGAAGAAAATGTTGAGTTAAACATGGTTTTATAGCTAAATCTCTCACTTGTATGACAGTTGTTTATAGTAAAAAAATTGATACTTCTTATTATAAATTGGTGATTAAGTGTAAAAACATTAGTACTAATAGAAAGTAGAATAGCAATGAACGGTAAACCGTATCAAACAGTATAGCACAAGAGTTTCACCAAGCTCTGATTTTTACTTCTTAAGAAAAATGCCTTGAAAGAAAATTTCACTTTCAATTTCCTTTGTACAAATGTTGGAGCAGGGGTATAAAACTGTACATGTGTTATAGCTTTTTAGTTACAAATCTGGAAAGCATTGAGTTTCCACCAATTAGGTTTCAGTTAATAAATATGACTTCACCTGGATTTCCACCAATTGCTATTAGGTATGATGTTAAACATCATATTGAATGATTTTTCTCATATTTTTTTTAATGAAATTGATGAAAAAAAAGGAATAAAATATAAAAATAAGGAGATGTGGTATGATTGCCAATGAGACAACTATCCACCAAAGTAAAAATAAGGATATGAGGTATGATTGCCAATGAGACAACTATCCACCAAAATAAAAAAAATAAAAATGCAGAGATGCAGTAAGATTGCCAATGAGACAACTATCAACCAAAGTAAAAATAAGGAGATGAGGTGTGATTACCAATGAGACAACTATCACTTAACACATCACTATTTTTTTTAGTCTTATCAAAAGTAAACAAAAAGAAAAATCAAACTCAGATTTTAATCAATTATCGTAATTTGTTACCAGTGTCTTTTTTTCTTATTCTATAATTTGTAGCAAGAGAAAATACAGCAACTTGGTTCATATCCTCTCTGCCTCTCAATTCAGCATCTCTACCTACTCGTCCCATCAGTGTTACTTCATTTATACCTGAAAATACATGCAAAACATTTATTAACTCTGGAGCCATAAGGATGTTTACTTTATTTACAAACTTGACAAAGGGGATGCCCCTGGAGTAGACTTGACTACTGTGCTTTCATTTATTTTTGTGGAATGAGGAAAAATTGTATTTCATGGAATTTTTTGTATCAAACATGTTGCTTAACTTTTTTATTCAGTATATATGCACACTTTCACTTATGGACAAACTGTTTTTTATCTGATGTCTCATACATGTATATTGTCTATTAAGTTTTTCCTTTGTATTTGTAAGTCTGTCTCACACATGTGTATTGTCTATTAAATTTTATCTTTGTATTTGTTAGTCCTTCTCATACATGTATATTGTCTATTAAGTTTTTCCTGTGTATTTATAAGTCCTTCTCATACATGTATATTGTCTATTAAGTTTTTCCTTTGTATTTGTAAGTCTGTCTCATACATGTATATTGTCTATTAAATTTTTCTATGTAATTGTAAGTCCATCTCATACATGTATATTGTCTATTAAGTTTTTCCTGTGTATTTATAAGTCCTTCTCATACATGTTTATTGTCTATATACATTTTTCCTTTGTTATTGTCCATCTCATACATGTATATATATTGTCTTTTTTTTCTTATGTAATTGTAAGTCCATCAATGTCTCATACATGTATATTGTCTATTAAGTTTTTGCTATGTAAATGTAAGTCTGTCTCATACATGTTGTCTTTTTTTGCCCTATTTAATTGTAAGGTCTAGAGAAATCTGTCCCTGTCTGGTAGCACATTAGAATAGAGTAAGACAGCAATGATTATATAGCAATGACCAATCTGATAACACTAATCCATATGAACTGCATTGTAAACAAAAACTCACATCTTTCCATCGACCTAGGACTCTCATCAGACATTGTTCTTGCCAACTGGGCACATGGCCGTGTAATCTGAAAAAGATGATTTAAAAATATCCTGAAAAAGATCAATACCTTTGACAAAAATTTAAGTACAGTCCAGATGATCAACAGGTAGACTTGGACTACAGGTGTGGATCCTGAATTTTGGTGTTAGGAGGGAGGCACTCCTTAAAATTAGGAGTAAGAGGTCCATATTTTAACAAAAATTGGCTGTAATTTTACCTGTAAATTACATTTTTTTCCTGTTTTTTTTTGTCTGAATCCGCACCGGGACTAGCAAGGACAATTTTTGTTAAGATCTTTCAACAGTAGATAATACAAGACATCTAGTAGACTGCATGGCAAGTGTCAAATCCTAACGACTCTAAATTGAAAACAAAATTTAAAACCGAACCTTCTGTATACAAAAATCTATCATTTTGTAATTTGAAGTGAAAATAATTTTCATGTGTATACAATACTTTATATTAATACTTTCAGCCATTAATTTAGTTTGGTGTGCAAATAGCGGGATTATTGAATCCGACACATACAATTGAAGGATACACATAACTTTTTATCCTGTATGAACCTCCATTGACCTCTAGCATTCTTTAATACCGTTAAATGTAGATTAAGACTACATCATATACATTTAGTTATTATGACGTTATTGAGGTTCCAATTTACATTTGGTTTAGGGTAAAACATATCATATATACCCAGGCTGTTTCCAGCATTTATTGGAAGATTGTGTATTCAATGCTACTTAGGAGTAGAAGTTGTCTCCCTTTCCCCAGGTAGAGATGCCTTAAACTAAAAATTATATTCTACTATCATGACTATATTTGTAGTCTTCTTTTTATTGCTTCATTATGATTATGTTTAATATTTAAGCTGGGTCAGATAGAAAACGACCTTGTGCAAGTGCACATATATACATGTACATGTATAAGATTTTGATTGATTTTGGAAGATTCAAATACCAAAATAAAAGATGAATTTTGGTCTGTTTCGTAGGGTTCTTATAAGAACTCAATTTTCAAACAGTTACAGATTTTTTCGTAGAGAATTTTCAACCCAAAAGAGGTTAACAGATGTATTGATTTTCATTTGCATACAGTCGATTTGTATCCGACGCAGGTCATTTAAATATAAAAATCATTTTTTTTAAATTTAAAGTATATGAAATTTGTATTTTGGTTTTTTTTTAGCTGTGAATATTTGTTCTGCTCTACTCTGGCACAGGCACTATTTTCTTCCCATTGCCCATATTATATTATTTTTGATAGAATGTCTAGAGCCTGTGACTCTGGGCACCATAATTGACTTAATAAAATGGTAACAGGTCGTTTACACCCCAAAGCAATCTGACCCCCATTCCATCCCCGTTGTAAAATAATGAAAAGTTACTATAAAAATTTGTGTAAACACTGATGATTGGAAGAATTTTTTTTTGAAACATAGGTCTGTTGATTGGTTGATTGATGGTTGCTTAAGGTTCAACATAACAAATGGACAAAACTGGTTGTGTTTACACTTCAAAAACTACTGAGTACAGACTAACCTGTGCAGTTGGAAAAGTTTCAAGGCTTGGAATCCACTAGATATATAAAATTTAAGTGCATTTTGTGTTTCAGAAAGATAAATTCTTTTCTCATGTTTCTGGATCTTGATGGGTATTTTTTTTTTCGATCCTGCTGTTGGTGTAAAATAAATGAACACCTGAATTACACTTGATATTGTCCACTCAGTTACACCCTTTAACTCGCCTATTGCTGTGTAGATATCTATTGTTCTTCTACTGTCCATGTTAATCAACACAATACAATACAGTTGTTACCCGAGAGGGGTCATCTCAAAGATTTAACCCAACTTAATTTATTTTTACACCTTCTCAGGGGTTCAAATTAGCAGTGGTCCGAGGTCTGTGACTTCCATTTACGGGTTCGGACCTTCCCACCAGTAGTTAGTTACACCCAACAGACTTTCATATTTTTGCAGGTAAAAAAAGTTACAAAAGCATTTCCAACAAAAAATATATAAAACTAGTATAAAAATAATCTTAAAATATGCAACTTTACTGAAAGGAAACTTATGTATTTGCTTAAATTCTTCACAATTGATTTGATGTGTAGTCACTTGACTGGTCATCGTAGATGATACTGGGAAACTTGAGAACATATTATTAAAACATAACCAGTAAACGGTATGAGTCTGTTTGGTTTTGGGGTGACCTCTTCCAAAAGAAAACCAGATGAAACGGGTGATACAGCGGGGGTGATTGATGAAATGGCTCAATGCAGCCTGAAAGACAGGATCTGACTGAAGACCAAAAATATGACAGGGAAAAACAAGAACGTAAAAAAAATTTCCCACACACAGTGAAAGGGAAAGTGCACTGGATTGTTAGACAAAAAAACTTAAAACTTGACCCCATAAAAAAATCAGGATGAAAAATTAGCACCCAGTATCTATATATCTTGCCAAAAAAGTGGTTAAAAGAAACTGACTCTAAGTTTGAAAACGATGTTGAGCTGTTATCTGACACAAAATTAGGCCAGTGTGTTCTTAAGCAGCAATTGAAACCAAAACAATTAAAAAGGTACAAAGTGTTATGTAACACCAGCGTATAGTGTTGAGGGAAAAGGGGAAGCCTTTTTTTTCTGACTGACTTTATTTATGAAATTCAGAAAAAAATGAGGTTAATGTAGTAAGATATTGATGAGTGCTTTAATTTGGAGTGGTTACCATTTTCTGTTGTCAGGTTATTATAAATTGAATTTTCAATAAAAATTGGACCTTCTAAGAATAAAGGAGGACCTTTAAGAATTTTTGGTAAAAGGTCCTGGACCTTCTGTTGCCTAAAGTAATTTTGAACCCCTGCTTCTGCGGGAATTTAAAAAAATGCCCACTTTCTGCATTTCTAGCAGGAATTAAAAAAAATGCCCATCAAAATCCAAATAAGATTTTATCTGTTTGAAATGTAACGAGAGAGCATGATTCTTCTTACAAAATCACTTTGTCTCCACCGGGACTCGAACCCAGTACCTTTTTGTTACAAGGTACTTCCCTAGCTCAACCGCTTACGGCTGACCAAGTACATTTTTGTATCTACTACATGTACTAAGGGAAGCAATCCTGTCACACTTCCCCCCACCTCAAGAGTCATCATACCATTATGCTGGCTAGAAATCCTCTCTAACTGCCTAGGGTTTTTTACGTTAGGCGCCATATGTAAGCGGAAAGCACGATTTTCATTACAAAATCACTTTGTATCCTCCCGGACCTCTGTGTTACAAGTCAGCGCTCTAACCTAAGAAGTACTTCCCTAGCTCAACCGCTTACACCTGACTAAGTATTTACTACAAGTACTAAGAGAAGCAATCCAGTCACAGAAATGCAAAATGCATTTAACTTTTATATACCTATCAGAAGCTAGGACTTAAAACTTTTCCAACTGTACAGGTTTGTTTGTACTCAAGAGTAATTTTCTACCTAAAACACAGACAGTTTTGTCCAATTATGATGAACCTTAAAGTCCAGTTGCAAATATTTCATGCATGTTCAGGATTATATTTTACCTCTGTTATAGCTGTGGAACCGTATCTCTTAAGTCCTTATGATATTTTTTGACAATTTGCAGACCGGGACCTAAGAGCTACGGTTCCACAGCTTCCTTCGTTATGAATAGTGTAGGTTTAAACTTTTTAAATTTTAGTATTGTTTGTATTGGATAGTCCAGCTAGATGCTTAATGTACATGATGTATACAAACTATACCTGTAGAATACCTGCATGACCTGTAGAATCTTTTAAATGTAAGGGCTCATGTGTAAGGAAATTCAATCATTTTTTAGCCCACCCCAAGTCGTACTTGTACTAAAAACTACACTAATAACAATCCTGCATTTTATGGGTCACTCTTGGTCACAGTCAATGAAGTTTAATGCTTTAACTAATATTAGTTTAATGCTTTGTTTTGAGTATGGCAAAATTATTTTGTTATCTTTACTATAGTGCTTCTGCTGCTTTGTGCTAATTTTAGTTACTTAACTAATCTCTGTGTCATGTATGTGCTTTTTATGTGCAAACCATTTTATTTTTGCTTTTGTGTTTTTATCTCATAAGTGCATGCTTCAGTGTATGTTTAACTTTTAAAATGATTTAAAAAACTTTGTGTTGCATGTTTATATATTAATATGAACTCTTGCTTTCTATGTTTAATTTAAGTGTGCATGACTTAATATGTATGTTTTGTTTTATTATTACCAGTGGCGGATCCAGAACTTTTCATAAGGGGGGCCTGTCTACAGTCATGCTTCAGTGATTCCCTATATAATCAACCAAAATTTTCCCACAAAAGGGGGGCCCGGTCTTCCTAAATGAGGACCATGTTGTATTTTGAAGAAAAGGTAACAACATATGTACATGATGTATGTAGGCTGAGGCTGTTTTTACGATTTTCAATTTAAAGTTCATTCACTGACATGACTGACGTCAAATCAAAAACTTAAATAACTTTCCAAAGCATAATAACTACATGAATATCAGGTAGGGGTGACCTTTGCTTCACACACAGTCTGTGTCACAGATCTCCAGGAGCAGAGCTATGTAAACTCCCAGAATGTTTAACTCTCTGTGAAGTAAGAAGATGAAACGTGTAACATTCTATATTTAAAGTAGGAAAACCGACAAAATACTCATGAACACAGCTTACTCTTGTGAGTGAACGAAGTACATTCATTCTCGTGTTTCAGTTTTCCTCGTGTTTCTGGAGTTTGATTACAAATTCGTCCCATAGCCCTCGTCCTCAATTGCAGAAAATATATACTTCACAAAACCAAGGATATATATACAAATCCTTGACAAAACTAAGTGACCGTCTAAAATGACAATCCAATACCAGTTATTTCAACAAACTGAAGCAGAAATATGTAAAATAATGATGATGATTAGTGAATGCAAACTTGTCCTCATTGAATAAATGACAGATATATGTTGTGTGGCGAAAGTACCTTTAAAATTTATTCCAACTTCCGGTAAAAATGAAAACAGAATCGTTGCTGTCTTGTTCAAGAAAAGATATTATTTATACCACCATCAATAGCTGTGTTATTGCATTAGGTACATGTATACAAATTTTAGCTTTATCTTTACGATTTCTTGATAGGTGTATTCATAGTAAATGACTTGTTTACAACTTACAAGAGGAATTCATGTTCTCACTGACCACTCCTTTATCATGATATATTTATATATTCTGTACTAATTATATATATAATCAGAAGTCCATTACTAGACGAAGTGTGCAACCTGTGCTATATAGTAAGGCGATCAAGATGTCCCCTTTATCAGTGGAAAGCGCCATTGGTGGTCCCCCCAAGTCTCGTTTTATAACTATGGAATCATGGGTAAAAATATTATGAGGGTCGTAATGGGGGTACCCTAATGACGATTAACGTTAAAAATTCTTGCCAAATGACGTTAACGGTAATTTTTGTTGCATTACGATAAAATGTACACTTTCTTTTAGACGATAAAAAAATCGACTGATTTTGATGAATCACGTTAAATTTTTTCCCAAAATAACGGTAACGATAATTATTTGAGACCTCTGACGAATCACGGTAAATTTTTAACCAATTTGACGCTAACGGTAGCCTAAAATGACCGTTTGACGCCTGACGGTAAAGGGCATTACTACCCTCTATTATCATCGAACAGATAGCTGTTAATTAGTCTCCTTGAGCGTTTGATTGAATATCAGTTTGGTGTAAATAAAGTCAGCTGACTTAGTTCGGTGGTTTCTTATTGCCAGTTAGTTAACTTCTTCATTTTAATTCAATATTTAGAAAATGATATTGAATTTTATAAACGAATTCATTGGTACCATTTTTCATCGCGCAAAGGCAAATGAGAACTATAATATCGGCCGTGTTGACTTAAAATGTATCGTCTATCTAAAAGATGTAGTTGTTTTTTGTCAAAATAAAGTCATAACTGTCTCCTTTTTTAAATAGAACCGCGTTGTGTTGTCGAATTATGTCTCGGTCATTTACGGCACCAAGGAAGCTACGGTATATACGGTGATGGATAAGCAAATGACAGGGTTTTTTCTTCGCTTCTACAGAAAAAACAATAATATCCGTCCATTTGTTGCTTCAGATGACTTCGAAACAATTTCGAATTTCAAAAGTCTCTTTTTTTTTTTTACCTTTTTTAAATTAAGAGACATACTTTTCTCATGTTGTCCATCATTACGTTCGCTAGATTAATCACAAGATCACAGTATACTTGAGTCAGTGATGCAACGCGTAAAAGTCCTTTTTTTGTTATTTTATACTCACTAAACTGAAGGCATCTGTAGATATGTGGATTAAAAAAAATGATTTATCGCGTGTTGCTAGCGTAACGTTCAGTGGGAAATATAAATATGCATATCCCATCACAGAGTTGTCGCAAGTGTAATTTAACATCAGAGATCGTAACATTCATCCTGAATACGCGAGGTACTGGATTTCACTTGAAGTAGCCTGGGATCCTGGCTAACTGCTGGACTGTCGTATTAGACTGGGTCAGGATGTCAGGCTAGATCTGAAGTCCCTCCTCCGACCTGACGCGGCCGCTATTAATGTATACATCCCACACTTGTAAGAAAGGGTTTTACTGTTGCAAAAACCGGACAATTCCAGGAATTACTGACTTTATTTCTTTACAGCACAACTTAACCCTTGAGATTGATTTAGTATTTGAACAAATTAAATCAAATTGTCCTACAGCAAGGTTTTTGAAATAGGACTTCGTCTTATTTCAGTATAAAGTATACTTACATAAAGAATATATATTTATTACCTTGTTTACAAAGATCGCAACTTTTCCTACAATTTAAACCTATAAAATTTATATGTCGAACGCACGTGTTGAGAACTGCTTTTGTAGTTTTTAAATTGATAAATTGTACAAACATTTTTATCGTTTAATATTTAAACCATCATAATGACTCATGACACTGACATAATATCGCATCTAGGATCTGCTATTCATTAACACCTCGATGGTCAAACATTATATTCAACTGTGTGCTAATTAATGGATAGGGTGTTTTGAATAAATTATCTCTACCCAGAATGCATCACAAACAATTTGGCCATTGATTTTTGTTACTATTAATAGCAATCTCGCTCAAATCCCGTTTCAATCACAGTTGGAAGTACAGGGACAACGTGATCGCCTTACTATATAGCGGGTTGCACACTTCGTCTAGTAATGGACTTCTGATATAATTGATCATGACCACTCCTTTTCTAATATATAAATAAAATTAATCGAAACAGTGTGATTTACAAGGATTATTATCTGCACAAAAAAGTCTTTAAAAATGCTCTGTTATATATACCATCACAAAATTTATCAAAACCTTCAATTTTTAGCATGTCGCAAATTATGTACATGATTTAAATGAACGTTGACACATCACTGAATTACATGTACATGATTTAAATGAACGTTGACACATCACTGAATTACATGTACATGATTTAAATGAACGTTGACACATCACTGAATTACATGTACAGTGATCTGGAAGGATTTTTTCTCTATGGGCCCAGGGCTCCCCAAAAATAAATTCAATGGGCCATTTTTAGAATTAATGGGCCATGTTGTCAAATGAGTGGGCCATTCGTTTACAATAAAAAAAAATCTAAAAAGTGTATATTTCACTGTACTTACAAGTATGATTCTAATTAATATCATGGATATTGTTCCTGTGATTTTGTAATTTCAATTTCAATGAATATACAATAACTTCTTCCAAACCTGGCAATATCTACGATAACCATTTATTTACAATGTTAAAACTGGTACTGTTCCCTTGTTCATGTTCATGTTTTTTTTACATTAAATTTGGGTCTTCGTCGATACCATACTTATTCCAGACGTTCCGAATTAAAGGACGTTTCTGGCATTTCCTCTGCACTTGTATTATTATTACTTCATCACGATGACAAGAATAACAGTAGAGAGCAACGTTAATTGATAAGACACAACAACAATTTGCTGAAGGCATGTTTACAAAATGTCAAAATGAGCCAAAGACCAAAAAAATTGTCAAGGACAGTTAAGCCCCTTTTATGGAGACAAATACTATACCATTCATAAAAAGGCTTTTGGGTTTTTCAATCGAAATAATAGCAAGCTTACTTAAAAGATTATTATGAGAATAATTCTCGCCTGTACTAGCCAATCTTCACAAATTTAAAGTTGTTTAATGTTGCTATTATTACCATAGGAAAACACCCGAGACGTCCCAAAAATATATAAGTGCTCCTATCATTGGAGTAAACACTACACAGTTGTGTACTCACACATGGCGGCACGAAATACGATCGGAAATCCATTTGACGATATCTCTACGTTTCAAAACGAAGTGAAAAATATCATGCGCCACGAGGGCGCTTACATTTGTCACTCTATGCGCCATTTCTGGTCGATAAGCGCAATTGGCGCAAGGCGCACGTCCTTCCCGATCACTGCATGTACATGATTTAAATGAACGTTGACACATCACTGAATTACATGTACATGATTTAAATGAACGTTGACACATCACTGAATAACATGTACATGATTTAAATGAACGTTGACACATCACTGAATTACATGTACATGATTTAAATGAACGTTGACACATCACTGAATTACATGTACATGATTTAAATGAACGTTGACACATCACTGAATTACATGTATTTTAGTTTGTAGTATTTTTAACCGATTAATTATCTGTCAGTCAATCATCGTTATCATGGTTATGTTGTTTACTTCTTTAACAATTCAATAGACAATACAGTGTCAGTGATTTCATGTGTATATTTTCTCATTCTGACAGCGAAAATTATACACAGTGAAAATTTAACTTGCCCATTTTGTCATCAAATTGCAATAAAAAGCAGATGCGAAAAAAACCCAATATACAGTAATCTGTCAGTATTTCTGCATTTATTTATAGCTTCCATGGCTCATCACTTTGCATCTGTGGTTGTCATCCGTTTACTTTTACAAAAATCTTCTCTGAAACTAATATAATCATGATAATGGGCCAAATTTAACCAAGCTTGGCCACATTCATCATTCAGGTAATGAGTTTAAAAAATGTGACCGATTACCCCCTGCTAACCAACATATGGCTGAGATGGCTAAAAATAAAACATAGGGGTAAAATGCAAGTTTCATGATTTTATCTACATTTATTATTTTGAAAACTGCTAGTAAAGATAGAGAAAATCTGACGGGTAGAAATGATCCGGATGTTTAGATCTACCTATTGTCCCTTTACATCAAAGCTGACAGATGACTTCTTATAGAAGTTTTTGCCCTTAAATGACAAATTAAACAATTTTTATGCCCTTGTCGTAGCGGAGTGGGCATTAAGTTTTACCCTTGTCCATCTGTGCCGTACTGTACATCCCAAAATAAGTTTCCGTTCTCTAACTTTATTTTGCCTCAACCAAATATTATGAAACTTATACACAATGCTTAGTACCACAGATCAAGTTTGAATTTCAGTGGCGTCACATTTACCATTCTAGAGTTATGCCCCTTTACAAATGGAAAATTTTTGAATTTTTCGTTTTCGTTCTCTTAAACTATAGTTTGCCTCAACCAAACCTTTAACCTTATGAATCTTATACACAATGCTTATTAGCCCAAAACACTGATCAAGTTTGAATTTTGGTGGCATCACTTTCACTTTTACTAGAGTTATGCCCCTCTTTACAAATGGAAAAA